ATCTGTGCCTTGCCACAGTTCTGTCTCTGAGCTCTTCAGGCAGTTCCTTTGACCTCATGATTCTCATTTGCTCTGACGTGCACTGTGAGCTGTAGGGTCTTATATAGACAGGTGGGTGGCTTTCCTAATCACGGTCAATCAGTATAATCAAACACAGCTGGACTCAAATGAAGGTGTAGAACCATCTCTGGGATGATCAGAAGAAATGGACAGCACCTAAGTTAAATATATGAGTGTCACAGCAAAGGGTCTGAATACTTATGACCATGTGATATTTCAGTTTTTCTTTTTTAATAAATCTGCAAAAATGTCAAAAATTCTGTGTTTTTCTGTCAATATGGGGTGCTGTGTGTACATTAATGAGGAAAAAAATGATTTTAGCATATGGCTGCAATATAACATAGTGAAATATTTAAGGGGGTCTGAATACTTTACGTACCCACTGTACTACTGCATTTCTACAGTAGTCAGTGGCTTCTTTTTAAGGAACAGTGACCTAGTAGACCAATAGTCTGAACATGTTTGTTGGTTCTCATGTTTACTGTCTGTCTCTTTATCTCTCTTTTATTTCAAAGACAATACAGACTGCTGCACCTGCCCGTTGTACATTTATTTCTCCATCACGTCCTTATAAAGCTGGTGGAAATGTCAGAACAGTTTCAACGATGTAGGAAAAATGCAACTGTTGCTCCTGGACAAAACTAAGAGTTGCAATGTGTAAATTGTTTGATGTTGAGGTCTATTCAGCCATTCCACATATGATTTTTGATTCAGCAATTAGTGAAAGAGAAAATGTGTTACATACTATATCATTTTGTCATAGCTAGAATTTTTTTTACAATGATGATTATATTTTCTGAATGTCTTTTTAATTGATTCGACCAAGTTTAAAAAGAAGGCATAGTTTCCTGCTTTGTTTGCTTTTGCTAGCAAAGATGTGATTTCGATGATAACCTCCCAAAAATGAGCAACATGTAGCATCATTAAAAAGACAGTGACATGTCAATCCAGTCAATGTTTCCCCCTGAGTTTTATGTTCTGGACATGCTCTTTGTCGAGGTTGCTTCATGATTAAGTGTTTTAACTCTGCTGTCTTAGTCACATCATCATGCGCATTTTGGCTGTGTTGTTAAATCAGCTGCTAGGAAAGTTAGGTAACCTAAATAAGCACTGTGATAAGAGGTATATGAACAATATTGTTTAAAGGTGTAATCAGCATCTGGTTCACTGGCCTGAAATAAGGATTATTCTGCATTAATTTTCAGCTGTCTTATTCTTTGTGTCAATATTATTGTGAAGTGTATTAATACATGTCATCAGTAAAGTTCCACTATGGGTGATGAGGAACCCCCTTGTTAATTCTGTCCACCAATTAAATTTCCTGCTGCCTGCTGTGTCCCGTCTACGTGTCTGTTCAGGCCAGAGAGGAGATCACTTAGTTCATTCATTATAAGCAGTGGTGTGTTTACTAACCTCCTGAACTTTTGGCTGTGACAAATGTAAACACACCATGAGCAGAATAAGCTTATTTCAAAAACAGGATGCATTCTTAATCATATAAACAAAAGGATTCAACCAGAGCACCCTATACATGCAGGAAAAAAGGCTTCATAATGAGTAAGAATTTTGGTGCTTCAGTGGCAACACTGGGTCTTTTTGTTTCACTAAACATGAATCTTAAAATCCTCTAATGTCTATCTTGTTGTAGTTCAGGAAAGGATTAACGGGAATGGGAATTCTGGGTACAGGTGGATTAAAGTTGTCCCAGAATAGTGATCTTGTGATGTAGACCTTGACCTGTAGGTGATTCAAATTAGACATTACTGTAATTGGGCACAACTGTGGCTTCTATTTGAATGAATTGGTTACACAAGGTTCTAGACAAATGTGGATAGTCCATCCATCCATCCATCCATCCATTTTCCTCCGCTTATCCGGGACCGGGTCGCGGGGGCAGCAGTCTAAGCAAAGATGCCCAGACTTCCCTCTCTCCAAACACTTGCTCCAGCTCCTCCGGGGGAATGCCGGGGCGTTCCCAGGCCAGCCGAAAGACATAGTCCCTCCAGCGTGTCCTGGGTCTTCCCCGGGGCCTCCTCCTGGTGGGACATGCCCGGAACACCTCCCTAGGAAGGCACCTAGGAGGCATCCGAAACAGATGCCCGAGCCACCTCAGCTGGCTCCTCTCGATGTGGAGGAGCAGCGGTTCTACTCTGAGCTCCTCCCCGGTGACTGAGCTCCTCACCCTATCTCTATGGGTGCGCCCGGCCACCCTGCGGAGAAAGCTCATTTCGGCCCCCTGTATCCGGGATCTTGCCCCTTCGGTCATGACCCAAAGTTCATGACCATAGGTGAGAGTCGAAACTACTTCTTCACCACGACGGACCGGTACATCGGCCGCATTACTGCAGAAGCTGCACCGATCCGCCTGTCAATCTGACATGTTAGTTGGAAAACTATCAAACTTGGGCTTCCCCATCACACGCACCTGGATCAGGGACTTTCTCACAAACCTTGAAATAAGGCCCTTAACGTTCATCCACCCATAGCCTCAGCACCGGCTCTCCACAGGGCTGTGTGCTGAGCCCTCTTCTGTATACTCTGTATACACCTAACAGCACTCCTATCCACCCTTCCAACACCATTATTAAGTTTGCAGATGACACAACCGTGGTTGTACTCCTCATGGGGGAAATGAGACAGCTTACAAAGATGAGATCCTGAGGCTGTCTAAATGGTGCAACTAACCTGTCCATCAACACCAACAAAACTAAGGAACAAATCAGAGACCTCAGTAGACACTGAGCAGAGCCCACCCCCCTTTACATCAATGGAGGTTTTTGGAGGTACAAATCTCAGAGGACCTCAGTTGGACAGCAGACACCTCTGCAGTAGTGAAGAAGGCCCAGCAGAGTGCTTTGTAAGTAGGAACCATCCATACCAGAGTCTTGTGGTATCCTTTTACCTCACCACCATAGAGGGTGTGCTGGCATACTGCATCTCGGTGTGATATGCTGGCTGTTCAGCTGCTGCCCTCTGCCCTCTCTGGAGGACATCGGCACTGTCCCCGACCGCCATGCAACGTTGCAGAGGCGTGTCAACCAAGACAGCCCAACAACATCCAGAGACTTAAGGTACTCAGGGCGGATCTCATCCACCCCCGGTGCCTTGACACCGAGAAGCTTCTTGATTACCTCACTGACTTCAGCTTGGGTGATGGACGAGTCCACCTCTGAGCCCTCAGCCTCTGCTACCTCATCGGAAGACATGGCGCCGGGATGTGGATAGTCAGGTTCATTTATAGTGTGTTTACAATCTGTATAGTGTATAAATCCTGCTGTCCTTACACCATTGTAGACTGAGGGAAAAGGAGAAACCTCCAGGAGAGCAAGTGAAGAGGGATTCCTTTCTCAGAATGCAAGCAGTTGAAATGGGACTTATCTTTTTTTATCCTGAATACATTTGGAATTAGACACAAAATTAGGAAAATGCTAATGTTCTTTACCCATACAGTTTAATCATGGGATTGAAAAATAGTATTAAGATGTTTAGTAATGATGGTTTGATACTCAGCAGTATGAATCAAAGCACAACCATACATTTTCCAATCCAGAAAAACAACAGTATAATGAATGGTAATGTGCAGAAGCCCACACAGACTTTGACATTCATTGTAACTGAGGACTTTGACCTACTAGTGAGCTTTGATGTGCCGGCCTTGTCCTGAGTAATGAAAGTGTGCAGACAGGATGTGCACAGAGGGCCAAAGCAGAGATTAAGTGCTGTTTTGTTAGTGGTTCTAACACTGGAGCCCAGTGTGCAGCCATGACACTTGCTGTGTTTGCAGAGACATCCAGTTGGGTTAGCTTGATCAAGTAGAAGTAAACTGAAAGAGCAACCCAAAGCAGTGTGACTGGGCACAGACAAAGGTGAGTCGGTGGCTACTAGAGTACCTTCAGACAGTGAGTGATGGGTGGAGAGGGGGAAATGCTATTAAAAATTGTACTCTTTACTCCACAGTTTTTATTGGATAACTAGCTACTTTTCAAAATCAGATTAACAACACAAAATGCAGTAGACTATAACCAATAAGTAGACTATAATCAATAAGAGTTTACTGATCCCTAGTGGGAAATTCACAAGCTAACCAGCAGTAATTAGTAATGACTATAATGTAAATTGTTCCATTCTGCATAATGACTAATTTTATTTTTGGTACTTGATGCTAATATGTTTACTTAAGTAACATTTTGTATGTAGGACTTTAACTTATAACTGAGCATTTTTACACTGTGGTATTGCTACTTTTACTTAAGTAAACAACCTCAATACTTACAATACATTAATCTGAAAAAAAAAAAATCAACTGGACTAGGTTTTTAGGTCGAAGGCGTTTCACGTCTCAAGTTTTTTCAGTTTACTATGACCTGGACTGAGAATCTGCACGTACGATATACATTAATGTGAAATTTCACATTAATGTATATCGTACGTGCAGATTCTCAGTCATCCGGGTCATAGTAAGATGAAAACTGGACTAGATTTCTAGGTCGGAGGTGTTTAATCGTCATCCAAGAAGTTTCATCAATTCCGGAATTCTTAGAATACCGGCATTACTACTACGGAAAAGCACGCGCATACAAATGACACAGGTTGACTCACGAGCTTGTTCACCTTGTGTCTCCTAAACGCTTATATTTAGTTATCGTTTGGCTGTCTTGATAGTTGTTGAAGCTCACTTCAACTATATTGATTATTGTAGTGTACTGCAGCCTTATGAGAAGCCCAAAGAATCTTATTCTTCCATTCATGGATGGAAACTCCACCATTAAGTTGCGTCAGTTCTTTTACACACGTCCCGCCCCTCACGTAATATAAAGGCAAAACCACACACAAGACCGGCGGGATGTTGTAGTAGAGACCGCGTCCTTTTACGTTTATCAACCAGAAGATAGTAAAGGTAATGAAATTTATTTTTCATTTATCAAATAAAACATTTTCTGTACGATAAATCGTGTTTTAGATGTATTTTCTCTATTGTACCGCCTCTTTACCGAGTCGTAAAAGTGGACTGATGCAATAACTCGCATGTGTTATCAGTCTTTGAGCGCAATAATTTTGAAAAGAACATAACGTGTCTTGTCTTTGAATAGTGCTATATGCCAAAGGATAAAATGAAGGTGTTCCAAACAGGAGTATTTTACACACATTTTGAGTCTATTCGCTATAATTATTTGTTTATTACGGCGGCATATGAGCGGGGAGCCAACTTAGCAGCGCTAACCTAATGAGAGGTGACCAAAACTGGAAAACGTTTGAACAGTTTCCACTACTCTATATTTTTCCGTGTTATCTCTTGAGGTTTTTATTTATTGTTGTCCTAGCCGGTTATCACAACTAGAATGTGATACTAAGGCGTGGGATGACCATGTGCTGCTTTCAAAGACTCCCATAAAAGGCCAGAATTTCTAACAATCAAATGAATCATCCTTAAACATTTCATGCACTAAAGCAAAATAAATTGTGTCCGGCTGCTAATATTGTGCATAAGACAAGCACCAGAAAATACTGCTGTCAGAACCATATTTAACGTTTTATCATGTCACTTTGTTTATGTGCAGTTGGTAATTACGATGTTTCCGATGTTGGCACACGCGACGCCGAACGAGAGCCACGTAGCTAGCTTGTGTTTTAGCCCTTGATGGATCATAGATAAACACCTGATCGTCGTCTAGTCTGTTCGACACCGCTTCGATGTAAGGACATTTTTAATTCAACTTGCCTACGCCTTGCCTTTATTAAGAGCATTGGCAAATGCAGTCGAAGTGAGTCTGTTTCCGGGTGCTGGTCAGTGGTATGCAGGCTGAGGGTGTCACCGTGCCGAGTTGCATCAGAAACCACTCCATAGTGAAAATGTAGTAAAACTAGTGTGGTCGTGTGCTTCAAACCTACACGCGTTGACAGGATGGAGTAGAGGTTGTTGCAATAGTAAGCAACCCACTTTAGTTTAGTTTTTATAAACCTTGGCTCGGGCCAGCAAATGAGAGGCTGAATGTGTCAAGTTTTGTCTGCCTATGGTAGCTTGTCATTGCTGTAGCTTCGTCTATATTATTGCCAAGCCGGGCAGTAGCATCAGCCTCAGATTTCACAGGGCATTTACTGTACATTTTCAACATTTGAACACATTATATGGAGGAGTCATCCAGATAGCTTGGGGATGCTTGCAGACACAAACAGAATTAGGTAAATTGTGTGGGAAATGATTGCTTGACTTTCAAATTTTATGGTCAAACGATAAACGGCAGATTAATCAGTAATAACAATAATCATTCATTTCAGGGCTAAGTATACTGAGGGATTTCTGATATTTTGTCTACCCCATTTACATCACTGAGATAAAAATTTGTTTAAAACAAAGCTGAAGTTCAAAGATGTACTCAAAGGCTGATAAGGCTGGTGATTTTGCTGGATTTGTATTACGGTCAACAAATCTCATTATAAGACCAAAACAGCTAACAAAATTTTGTCTATTCCCCACTTTCATAAGCACTCTATTGTTGTCCACAAACTGCTGGGCTAAAACAAATCAGGCATTATCCTGTTACACTAGATTGCATGTTGCAGGATCATTTTCAGAAATTTGGGTGCTGTAGTAGAACCTGCTCCACAGTGTAATCATCACAAGAATTTTTAACTCTACAGTAGAGGCAACCACTCCACTTAGACCACTGCACGTACTTGCAAATGCAGTTCTCTTTATTATGCTTTGCTAGCTTGTTGTGCTACATATTCAGCCCTTATTTTGGAATAAAAGTTCTCTGAGAAATTTACAACATCTAGGACAGAGTTTACTCAGTATGAGTAAGAGTATGAACACGATTAATGCACAAGAAGAAATTGTTGGATGTGATAACTCATTGAGCTGTAGTCACTCCTTCTTGGGGTTGCTGACAAGTTATAGTTGGATGTGACTAACAGGTTATTTCTAGTCTAAAAGTTACCAGAAATTGTGTGTCAAAACAGGAAGGGTGTGCACCAGTCTGCATCTGATGTGCACTAGCTATATTTTGACATCAGCAGCCATGAATTCATGATTCTAACTGTGACACACATATGTGTGTCTGTCTGCATTTTTAAATGCTGAGATTTTAGTTTTTATTGTGAATCAGTTTTTCTGAGAAGCTGTGTGGCAACCTGGTTTCTAATTGTATACTTAAATCCCAAGAAAAGTTGCATGGATCCCTAAGTTCTTCTGCTTATGTGACCTCATCTTTTCTTGCCTGTGTCATGTGATCCTTATTAACCTTAATTTGGCACATATACACGTCCAACTGACTGCACTCTCGCATTTCAGAGCGAGCACAGTTTTTGGCAGGGGCACTACCTGCCTAGACATTAGCCAGGTAACAGTTCAGCCTCACTAGTTCATTCGCACACACAGGCTTTATGTGAAACTGCACGTATAAGCATGTATTCCTGGCTCAGAAACATACTGCACTTCAAACACCTGGAAAACCACTGTGTATTTGTGGTGCCTGAGGAATTGTTCACTGATTGTGTACTGCTGGTCATGATAAAGTGTGTATTCCTGGGTTGTGCAGTGGATGTTTGGGCCCATGCAGGGTAATGAAAATGATTTTCTTTTTCAGTTCCTTGTTCCACAAATGATGATACACTTGTGTTATCACTAGGATTATTGTTGCGTGTGTGTAGATGGCAGCACTTTTACCTAACTTTGAAACGATTTTTCCATGAACCTTTTGACAAGAACAGCAACAAAGTCCTTTTGTATAGGGCCGAATTAACATTTGACTGTATGGGAAAATATTTGAATTGTGGACAGTCCTTTGTAGCTCAGTATATTTGAGACTGATATCAGGTTATATGATAGATAATTACACATTTAACAGTGCCACTGTCATAGCAGAGAGGATGTTACCGGTCGGGTCATATAATGAGAGAGCTCCATGGTTGACAACAGTAGAGGTCAAAACAAAACCATGTGTTGTTTATATAGTCGCAATGTGGAACCGCCATGAGCTACAGTATAATGAGGTTAGCATGTTTGTTACTTCAGGTAATCCTCTTAGAGTCCATGGCAGCAGCGCTAAGTTGAGTAATAGGATCATTATTCCTGAAGCTTGTTGTAACCAGAGTCGCTCGAGATGGCTGTTCTAGTACTCCAAGTTAAAGAGCCCTTTAGTTAGTCCCGTTTAAGGTATAATAAAATATGCTCTGGTTGTGTTATTGCTGAAGAAAGTGAAGTTGGAGAAGCACAAGTCAACTCGGTTCACACTTAATATTTGCTTCTTGTGTATTCATGTTAATAACAGGAACACTACCATATAAGAACGCTGCCATATAAGAAACAATAGGAGCAAGGTGGCAGCAAGAAGCACAGTAGTCTTTTCAGGTGTGTATGTTTGCTATTACGCAGTGGAGTTTGGATATGGCATATCTGTGAGCCGCACCTTCATGCAAGCTGGCATGAACCTGCTCCCTTAGAGAAACGGGCACCCTCATGAAAACCACAAGGAAAAGATTTAAAGTGGCTCTAGCATCACTTTAATGAGACCAGTGCAAGCCTGCACTGTGGGAACTGTGCCACAACAAAAGAAAACTTGGATTTTGAGTGGAAAATCCAAGAACATTCCCCACCAAATTAATATTTATCTTGAGTTAAAAATGTAATTGTCCCAGTGTTGAGTCCTCTGGGTGTTTTTACATCTTTACAGTTCATGCAGTTTCAGTTGAGTGCTTTTGTCCCACTTAGTGAAGTGGTGCTGGGTGAAACCCTGAGGAGATCACAGCCAGCTGGGCACAGTACTTTGGCAGTGCTGTTTATTGTCACAACCAGCACTCTCAGATCTCTGTTCCTGGTGTGTGGAATGCTTCTGAAATGTCACACAAGTTCCACCATGTACCAGTTTCCCATCAGTCTTCAGAAGGCTGAGTGTTTATTATTGCGGTGGTCTGGTGCTCTGTGTGTTTTTATTTCATTGTTTGACAGTGTTTGTCTTTTTCTCTCAATGCTTTACTGTATTAGGCAGGATATTCTCTTTTGAAATAGTAAGGCTACAAGTGCTTTGAAGAGGTTATGGTGTTTTTAGAATATTGTTATTGTACTGCAACATTGTGTATCCTGTGCAATGAGAAAGGACAGGCCAAAACTGCACGATAACAAGATCAATAGCCGAGACATTTTATTGAGTAACATACTGACCTGATAATTTGTGGCACTAGATGCTTCTTGGCATTTTAATGTGTATTTTACAAACAAGGATTCTTCAGCTATACAAGCAGGTGTCCACCTGCTGTGTGCCCTGCATTTTGCCCTGGCACAGAGTGCTTGTGTGCCCCCAGTGACTTGGTGTAGCCACATGGGGGCCCCCATCCAAGTATCAACCAGGCCCCAGCTGGATTAGCATGGCTGAGGGATTGCTGCTACGTTTTCGATTGTCTTTTTTCATAATTTTGTATATAGTTTTCCTTAAAGCTGTAAAATCACGCTACCCCTTTCTTTTTCTTTTTTTTTTTTTTTGCACCTGCTTCCTGCTCTATCTTATCATCACTGCCCAAAAGCACCTGCACTTGAGTAGGCGTCAACCTCCTGAGCAGAGATAAAATATTATTCTTGGAACTTGTCCCCAAAGTGTGAAAACCACAACAGTTCATTAAGTTCCTAAAGTGAAAAGGGTATGTTGCATGTTGTAGCAGTACTTTAACTTGGGTTGTACACAAGATTAGACCAAAACATGACAGCACAACAAAAAATACTGTCCCTTGCAGAAGGCGTTCTCAGTTCCAGTATATTCAGCGAGTGTGAAAAGTCATTTTAACCCAACCTCTGATCCTGGTAGACAGTCACAGTCCTGGCAGATGTCTTCCTTCTCAGCATTCACTCAGAGGAGTCTGGTGTCATTGCATTAATAGCCTCAGATATGGTGCAGTATTGCATTTGGTCCTGCTGTCAGTCCTTCTTGTTGGAAAAGTTGCAAAGTTGATCCTTCCTACTGAAGAAGGACACCAAGTTTTCTCAGTACCATGACTGAACTGAGTTTAATCTATTGATAACTAAAAAGCTGTCTTCTTTCCCCCTTTCAGTACACTTGAGTTAATCATTGTCCATTTTGTCTAGCTGTTAATGATCGATCATAACCATTATGGATGTAGTAGTTATAAAAGGGTGTGTAGTATTTGCAGATAAGCTTGTATCACCCTTGACTTTAGAAGCAAGGCTTTGAAGTAATACATTTCACACATGTAAGTGTAGGCAGAGTTGCAATGTTTAATGACTACTTGGCAATCAATAATCATTACTTCACATTTGGTAAATGGTCTTATACTTGTATAGCGCCTTTCTATGCTTTTACAGCACACTCAAAGCGCTTTCACATTATTCGGCCATTCATCCATTCGCACTCCCAAGCACTCACGCATTCACACACTGGTGACATCACCGGGAGCAACTGGGGGTTCAGTGTCTTGCTCAAGGACACCTCGACATGTTGACTGGACAAGCTGGGAATCGAACCGCTAATCCTCCGGTTAGGAAACGACCCGCTCTACCTCCTGAGCCACAGCCGCCCCCGCTTTCAATTCATACAGCTGCTTTAGTGAATTTACCAGTGATAACACAAAAAAATAGGCATTTTATCCAATTCAAATATTGGCTTGGCGCTGACAGACACTCACACACACTCAATGTGCTTTGGTCCCAGCGTTATACTGTGGCTCCAAAAGGTATGAAATCAGGTTAACATAGTGACATTTTAACTTGTCAGAATAAACACTGGGAAGTTACTGCTTATAAAATTATATTTACATATAATGTGCTGCATTGTCTGGTAAGCTCAGCTGGACCAGCTGCAGGACAGATCACATTGCATCATAACTGGTTTGGCATTTAATTAAGGTGGAGAAAAGCCACCACTCTAACCTGTTTAAGCACAGTACAACAAAAACAAAATGTTATGCAACTAAAATATTTAAAAATTTGCATATAAGCTAAATGGCTCCAAGCAATGTAGTAAAAATATCTAGAGTCCATTGTTTAAAATGTGTTACTGGAACCAACCCACATTTTTTGCAGAAATGAATGTAATCATTATCAATCATTTTTTCCTAATATGCCAAGTTCATTACTACAGACATAAATCATATCTCTGTTGTCCTTGAGGATGGTTCGTTCTGTGTGCTGTTCTCTGAACTTGTACCTTCAAATTATTGATGACACATGGGACAATAATTAATAACTTAAATGGCAACATTTGTTCTTGGAATAGGCAAAATGCACGTTTACATATAAATCCACTTAAAGAAATGTTTTTTGACGTTTTCTTGTAGCTTTACGTATAAGGCTGGGTCAGTTTTTACAGATAGTGTATTTTACCTGTATATCAGCCTTCCACCAGCACAGCTGGCACACCTTATCACGCTGCTGGTTCATGCTGGCCTCTTGTTGACATTAGCTTGCAGAAGATATCATGCCTTCACAGCTTCTGGCTTTCTCAGGCTTCTCTCTGTCAGAATTTAGCTCCTGAAAAAACATAACACAAGTAGTAGAGTGCCCTTTCTCACAGCAAGGCAGTGGTGAGGAATTAGATTTTCACTTGTTTTTATAAAAGTGTGTACTATAGCAGGTTTATTTGTTATGGCAAAATTAAGATTAGATTCAAGGCTAGAAGAATAATAATGTTAGGCTTTCTTTTGTCTTCCTGGTGTCTCTCTGCCCCACTGCATCTCATGATGTGCTACTAAGCTGTAAGAGGCTGAGGTATGAATTCCTGGAAATTGCATAACTGGTATTTATACGGATTCTCTGATTAAACCTGCTGACTGATTGGGGTTTTGCTGAAGAGAAGAATATTCTGAGAAAGTTTCAGGCGTCTTCGATGCTACCTGCCCGAATCATGTCCTCAAGTTTATTTGTATAGCCTTGGTGGGAGAGAACACGTGCAAGAGTAAAGCTGACAAATGAGTATTTTTAACTATTGCTTGGTTTTATAATTTTCACTGTTGCAAGTAAGTGGAGTAATCCCACTGCACAGTGCCAACAACAGAGCTGTAAGAAATGTAACCTTTGGCAGTTACTGAATTAGTGCCCAGTTTTGAGCCCTTGTTTTCTTGTTTCTTCACAGGTTTTAATCTGCTGCTACAAAATACTGTAACCACAAACCTGCCGTTTTCTGGTCTCTTCTTTGGAATGAAAGTTGTACACACATTTACACTAAAGGACCAATAATAAACAGGTGCTTGGTTTACCTGCTCATCTGACTGAAGTACTTCTGCTCTGTCCACTCTGTACACGTGTTCTGTGTAAACTGTGTCAGTCACACACCCACACTAGAAGAATTTAAAACACACAGCCTGGTTCAGCGCCCACACACAATCACAGCAAACATGGCCAACAAGCTGTCCAGCTTTGGCAAAATGCTGCTACGCCGTCGGGCATTAGACTGTTCTAGTGAAGAGACCCGATTTGCCCGCTGCCTATCCGTCCTGGACCTAATTGCCTTGGGAGTTGGTTCTACACTTGGCGCTGGTGTTTATGTCCTTGCTGGCGAGGTCGCTCGAGAGAAGGCAGGACCCGCTATTGTCCTCTGCTTCCTCATCGCTGCCCTGTCTTCCATGTTGGCGGGCCTGTGCTATGCTGAATTTGGTGCCCGCGTGCCCAGGACAGGCTCTGCGTACCTTTACAGCTATGTGACAGTTGGAGAACTCTGGGCCTTCATCACAGGCTGGAACCTCATCCTGTCCTATGTGATAGGTGAGATTTCTAAAGTTTGTAGAGCTGTAGTACTTTGTTGTTTTCTTTTCATGTAGCAGCAACATTAATAAATGTTTGCCCATGCCTAAATCCCCAGTAGGAACATGAAGATGAATAGAAAGCCACCACACTGACTTGTCAGTTTCTGTCCTTTCCTTTAGGTACAGCCAGTGTGGCCAGGGCGTGGAGCTCAACTTTTGACAACCTGGTTGAGCAAAAGATCTCTGGCTTCTTTAAAGCCTTCATGGAAATGAAAGTGCCAGGTGGTGTGCTGGCAGAATACCCTGACCTGTTTGCGCTCATCCTGGTCCTCCTGCTCACGGGTGAGTTTGCTCTGCATATTCTCTGTCATTGTTCTCAATGGCTCACAGGGTTGCGTGATACACATGAGAGATTACAAGAGGATAAATATGATGAGAAATACTGCAGAGTTTTACTTCTAAAAGTGTATATTAAACACACATCTTTGGTTTAATTACTCCCAACCCCTCAACAAATGCAACCCATGACAAAGGGTTTTTAAATAGACATTGCTTCACTTTGATGGGTCATAAACCAAAAAGGCTGAGAACCACTAATTGGATTGAGTGGAGTAGTTTTAAAAGCAACCCTCTGAAACCGCCTGAATCAAATGCTATCTTATTTAAAATCGGGCCATCAAGTTCAATTATTGCAGTCCATGCAGGACTGGCTGTTAGCATTGCATTAAAAATGTTACATAACGGCCCGAACAGTTCTCACACTAGTGTTGCAGCTAGTGTGTCATGCCAGTAGCAGTGTTAGAAAAATAATTGATAGATTGGTGTAGCTGACGGATGATATGTTGGAAGTGAAGCAGGAGCGCATCCACCCACCTAGCAGGATGTTATTGGTGCTGAAAAATGAATTTTCTCTTTCTGCCCTCAGGACTTCTGGCCTTTGGTGTGAGTGAGTCAGCACTGGTGAATAAGATCTTCACAGGCATAAACCTGGTGGTTCTGGGCTTTGTTATCATCTCTGGCTTTGTAAAGGGGAACAAACACAACTGGAACCTGACAGTGGAAGACTACATCAGCTACAAAAACAGCACCAACGACAGTGCGCTAAAGCAGTCAGTACTGCGTTTAACAGTTGCCTGTCAGCACATAAACTTTTCAATCAATTTAATCTGTCATTTTTTAACTGCCAACCAAATACCATATCTCTTGTTCTGTCATTCAGAGCTGAGGAGTTTGGTGTGGGTGGTTTTGCTCCGTTTGGCCTCGCTGGAGTCCTGTCTGGTGCCGCCACCTGCTTCTATGCCTTTGTGGGCTTTGACTGCATTGCCACAACAAGTATGTGATTTTAATTTCCAGATAAACTATGTAGAGAAAGGGATCGCAACTTGCTTGATAACCAGTTAACAAATTCTAAAATTCTTACCCAAATATTTGAAGTTGCTCCTCACTCTTTCTTAGTTGGTATAAACAAAAACATGTAGATCATCATTACTGTATAAGCCCTCCATTATTTCTTTGGGGGGCTGGGAGCATGGCTCTTCAGTCATACTGTCAAGTCAGTCAGGGCTTTTGTTTACTCAGAGTGTTATTTTACTAGGTTTCTTTTGACTGCTTACTGAGAATGCAGGTTAGACTTTTTCTCTGATATGGGAATTTGTTTTTGTTGACTCAGTACCCTTATACTTTCAGTAATACAAGTATATTAAGTACATGTGACATACTTCCATGACATATTTGAGCGAAGCTGAACTGATGCAACACCTGTTGCCTGTTATGTAATTTAATGGGAGAAATGTCACCTTCTGTCTCAAGACTTGTGTTCTGTGAAGGCTGTAATGCATTTGTTGTTTATCATTTTGGAAAAAGAAGCACAAAATCCCCTCGTCTCATGTGACCACTTTATATCTGATCCTTTTTGTTTAATCTTCAGGTGAAGAAGCAAAGAACCCCATGCGTTCTATACCTATTGGCATTGTGGCCTCACTGCTGATCTGCTTTGTTGCTTACTTCGGTGTGTCTGCTGCTCTCACCCTGATGATGCCGTACTATGAGCTGAACACCGAGAGCCCTCTGCCTCAGGCCTTCAGCTACGTCGGCTGGGATCCTGCCAGATACATTGTCGCTGTGGGCTCTCTCTGCGCTCTGTCCACCAGGTAGGGAAGGAAAGAATTGTTTGCTTGTCGAGATGTGTTCCTTGACATGACGCCGTAAAGCCCTATTTTATTTTGATTACTGTTTATTGTCTCTCAGTCTCCTAGGCTCTATGTTTCCCATGCCTCGAATTATCTACGCCATGGCAGAAGACGGGCTGCTGTTCCGTTTCCTGTCCAGGATGAATGCTCGTACAAAGACTCCTCTGCTGGCTACTGTTGTTTCTGGCATTGTTGCAGGTAAGCTCATTGTCTTTATTGGTCAATTTCTCAAGGTGTGTGTGGTGTTTTTTTTTCTTTTTCTTTTTGGTGACACAGATTCCACACTGAATAGCAACGAATGCTTATGCTAACAAGGTAAACAAAGGTTTTCTTCCTGTGGGCGTCGACATTCCAATTGTCCCCTGTATGTGATTGGTCAACGCAGTGCCTTTGCCAGATGATCTCACCATCTGGTGTGGTAAAAGTAGAACCAGATCAAACTTTTTCACTGTACGGGGTTGTTTTGTTTTGCCGGAGCCTGCTGTGGTGAATGCAGTCCTTCATTGAAATGAATGGGGAAGGCTGCATTTTTCACACTTTTGAAACGCAGTCTGAACATGCCCTTAGACATGGCTACTGTATAACTTCTATAACACTCGGTTTTTACCTCTTCTTACAGCTCTGATGGCCCTCCTGTTCGACTTGGCAGCGCTGGTTGATCTTATGTCTATTGGAACTCTGTTGGCATATTCTTTAGTGGCCATCTGTGTCCTCATTCTCAGGTAAGCGCCTTTATTCTCCGCTCGCAGAGTTAAGTCATAATCTGAGTACAGCCAAAACACAGTGGTCACAGGAGCTCTCAGATGGCTGATCTCATTCTCATGTTTGCTTTGGACTTGTGTTTAGCGGGATGTTGGTAAATTTATGAGAGCCCTCTTTGTAAACATCCAAAATTTATAGCTATATGTTTTTTATCCCCCCAGTATACCTCTGAAAATAATCCCTTACTTTAATTGTTCTGACACACTTCCATCGCTCCACAGGTATCAGCCAGGCACCTTGAGTTTGTCCAGCCAGCCAGAGGAGCAGGCAGAGCTGATGGAAAGGAAGGTCTCTGTAAATGGGGGGGAGAGCAGTGACGAGTACAGTATGGCGACAAGGAAGACTTTCACTGCCAAGCTGCTCTTCTGTCCAAGTCAAGACAGCCCAACACAGATTTCTGGGAACATCGTCTACGCTACCACTGCCATTATTTGTAAGTATGCCATGTAGAAGGCTGGAGCTTGTGGTTTACTTCTCTCAGCTGAGTGTGTGGTGTTTTTAGAGAATAAGACAAACACTGTATTTCCATGTGCATATTACTACCAAGATTGCAACTGACTTTGTCCTGCTCCTCTTTATGCAGCGGTTTTCATGACGGTACTGTGCATAATCCTGGCCAACTGTCTGACAGAGCTGCTGGCTGGATGTGCAGTCATTGTGGTAGCCTGTGTAATTTTGACTCTGCTTTGTGGCATCTGTTTCATCATCATCTGGAGGCAGCCTCAGAGCAAAGAGGCCCTCACCTTCAAGGTAAGTGCCAAACCCTGAGAATGTGGCCTTTTGTCTGTCTTTCAAGTGCTTTGTCTTGGATTAACTACACCCTTATGCTAGTGATTTGGAGACAGCTGAATGGTTGATACCCACTGGAGCAGAACCAGGTCAACTTTAAAGTATAGTTTTGCTGACTTTGTCTCTGTCTTCTCAAGGTCCCTTTACTGCCCTGGCTGCCCCTGTTCAGTGTTTTTGTCAACATCTACCTCATGATGCAACTGGACTGGAGTACATGGTGCCGCTTCACCGTCTGGATGTTTGTTGGTATGTTTACATCCTGGTTTCATTTCTGCTGCTGCATATTCATAGAACTGTTTCATAACTTCCTATTGCCTCTCTCCTCCAGGTTTTGCCATCTACTTCATCTATGGTATTAGGAACAGCAGTGAAACTGCCAAAAGGTCATCCCCAGGCAAATACAAGTCTGCACCAGAGAGCAAGTGCCCAATTTACACTGCTGCTAATGGCAGTGACGTAGAAGCAAGCAGCCCCTGATAAAAGACTGATGTGGACCTGGGCGGTGTTGCAGAGCAGCTACACTTGTTTTGGCAGTCTGGGTAAAGTGAGAGACAAACACTGCAGTGTAGGGGGCCTGGAACACAGTCCTGCGTTTAAGAGGAGGTGTGAGAAAATGCCACACAAATCTTACCCCTGACTTGGAGGCTGACTAACTTGATGGCTAGACACTGTGACAGAGACACTCTGTTTTCATCTGCGTGTCTGCACGCGCCCTCTGGATATCTTTACCTGCCTGTAACATATGCTTTGAATGACTAACAGAGTACCACGGTACTCCTCAGTTCTGTTTTTCATTATTTGAAGCCGTTAACTTGAAAAATGTCACTTCTTTGCTTCCTTTCCATTAGTAGTGCACTGTGGCCTGTGGAGCCATAATCGATGAAAAATTGTATGTATGTGACAAAAATTTATGAATTGCGCTGGTGAGTTAATAACCCAAAGACCTTGTGTCAGTGACTTAAACCATTTTAAAAAGTAGAAACCACCACAAAGGCTCACAGATGGAATTGAATTGTTATGAATCACTTTCAATAGAGTTGACATGTCTTATTTATTGGAATAACAATGGAGCAGCACCGAAGCTGCGTGGGTTACAGTGCCAGTCAGGGCCCTGGTGCAGTTAGGTCACCAGCAAGTGGTCAAGGGTGACGTTGTTTACCCTGTGCGGTTCAGTGTTTGAGGTTAAAGTTCATGATTTACAGAATGGATTTGTTTTGAACACACTATGGCCCTTGTCCCCCCTGCTCCCAGAGAACAGCTATACAGAAGGTGTACACGGCACCATTTAAATGGTGTGCGATGAATTGTTTATCATTAATTATCCATGTTATGTTTTTATCTTGCATATAGACTGTTGTGACCTCTATTTCAACAAAAACCAGGTAGCTAAAATGATTTTGATGCTTTTATTGAATGTAAGGGCCACATACTCCTCTCTTTTATACCTTCTGGGATTAACTGAAGTGTCAACCCCATTATTACTTATTCCCAAACAACATGGGAAGATCTGTATAAATTTTAAATTATTCATGTATCTCTGCCAATTTCGTTTATGTACCTGCACCTGTCCAGGCTGAAATGCTTGGAGCCGCACCCAGACATTTCTACAGGTCTCGGGAGGTTTGTAGATTTACACGTAGAAACTTCGTTAATTATCTGATGGGTCAGGGAATAAGATGTTTTAAAACTGTGGTTTGTGCACAGTGAATTGTTTGTAACTGTCCACCTCTGTATCTGGGAGCTGGGGGTCTGTTTCTGAAAGGGGCCCATCTTTCATCACTACTAGTTTAGTTTCAGTTGAACCTTGTTCTTGGCAGCTTTGTCTTCTGAGATCCCATCAGTTTTATTGTTTTGTACTTTGGTTTACCTTTTATGATGGGACTGTTTAATATTTAAATATTTAGCGCAAAAATAATCTATTCATGGCTTTTAGATGTTAATGTATTTTAATCATGTGTACAGTTTAGAGTGCAGATCCTTCTTTTTGTTTCTACATTGTTTTTTTTGTTGTTGTTTTTTTTTTGTGTGGGGAGGAGAGAAAATGTCTTGTTTCAGCAAATGATTAAATTGTGGTGCAGTGGTTAGTATTGTCACCTCACAACAAGGTATCAATTTGAGCCCCGGCTGACCCAGTGCCTTTCTGTACTGAGTTTGTTCTTTCCGGCTTCCTCCCACAGTCCAAAGACATGCAGCTTGGATTGATTGGCCACTCTAAATTGCCCTTAGGAGTGTGTGCGGTTGTCTCGCTTAATGTCAGCCCTGTGATAGGCTGGCAGTCTGTCCAGGATATACCCCATCTCTTACCTGATGTCAGCTGGGATTGGCTCCCACCCCACCCCCTACAACCCTTGTCAGGATAAGCAGTCAGATGAATTTTCTGAAAGACCACTCAAAGTTGGTCTCTAATTTGTGTAGTTTCAAATGCTTTTACCCCAGCTGTCTGGAGTTGTAACTGTACTGTTAATAGCTTTTTTTTCTAGTAAAGTATTTTACTGTAGAGTGCACAGTAATAATTAAACTATTTGTGTAATGCTGTAAACTTTACAAACATGTTTTCTTTAAAATATGACCAAGTATAACTTGGTAACAATGTAAAGCACATTTGAAGGCATTTCATTGGCACTTAATGCTAGTGAAATTCAAGTTATACAAATTCTAGTCCTCTTGTCATATCAAATTGTAAATATTGAATCATCTCTGCAGATTAAAAAAAGATGTGCCTAAACAGCTTCACTGTTTAGAAAATGCTTCCCCTTTAAACATGTCAGAAGCTGACATGTCTCCCAAAAAGTGTGGAGAAAGAGTCATTTGGATTCAGCCAGGTTAAAGGAGTCCAGCAGTCTGTATACTCAGACATTTCATGAGCTGCTTTGTCAAGAAACGTGACACTGAAGACTTGAGTGGAGATTTTAGTGTGGAACTTTTTTCGCTGCCTGTCACTGGTGGATCTCGAGAAGCTTTAAAGTTTACGTGATGTGGCTATAATCACACAAAGCTCTTCATCCCCAGTCCTTGTGCCTTTCACCAATCAGTATGATCATCTCCCATCCCAATACTCTCATTAATGATCTGCTTTTTGTTCAGTATAATATACTGTACATATGACCATCATGTATAAATGTAGTTGAACTTGCAATGTTTTTAAAATAAAATACTGTCAGTGGCAGATTAGAAGTCTCTTTTCATGTCCCTCTTCAGTTTAAAAAAAGACATTTGCTCAGTAGGACTTGTGCCAGAAGCTGTTAGACCCACCTCTACCAGTTTAGGCATAATTTTGGTAATTACACTATGAATCTACCCCTGAGTAGTTTTCTCTCACATAATTCCTGCACAACACTCCATAAGGCAGCAAAAGCCCTTCACTTAACAAAACACTGAAAGTGTCTAAAGAGCCCCCTTATGCTATGACCTTGGTGTTTTTGCCTAAGTCAAGGTAGTTGTATGTCAAAGTAAGACAGACACATGATAGACAATTGTTTGTTTTTATATCATTTCTCACTGAGACTTAGTTTATTCAACTGGCTGTAAAAACTGGCAAATACTGGGTAAGATAAGGAAACAAAAATAATCATGCTGACTACTTTTAACATTACTTCCCTCCTGAGCTCGAGGCCTGTTGTTTCGCTCTCAGGTCTGCTGTGTCCATATTAAGTATCTGTGGTACCTATGTGGAAAAACCCACTACCGCCCTAGGTATTGAAACTTTGAGAAGTGACAAGCAGCTGTGAACTACATTCAACAATGTGTGATAAGCTGCATTGAAAACTGATGATTATACACCACAAGCTGAAGATTCAGCATCTCTAGCTTGACTTGCCAAAGCAGCTGAAAACTAAATTCTTACATTTATCTCTGTACAGAATTTATTTGACACTCCATTTTCTTCATACTAAATATTAGTAGTTAAAAAAAATAAACAGTAGGACCCCGTGACCCCGTTTGGGACTAAGCGGTATGGAAAATGGATGGATAAATAGTAGGAATAAGCCACAGTTTTGCCTAAAAGCCTAGAACGTATTGTAACTTTTCTTTTTCTCCTCAGCACACAGTAAGGCTGCCCTTTAGTGGTGGCACACAGCATTACACCAATCTTTACAAGTGTGACCCATTACTGGGTTATCGCTGTCAGCCTTATTTTAGATCTGTTGGACTATGCAAACTCACTGTATATAGAAGTTTATTTACAAAGTCTTTGATGCCATTGAACCTAGGTTTCTTCTATGTTGTCTAAAGTTATTTAGTTTGTGATAAACCTTTATAAATGGGGCGGTTAACACTGTCGCCTTACAGCAAGAAGGTTATTTAGGAGTACTGAGGTTTAGTATGAATCACACCTGAATCTGATTGGACAGTAACAGTCCAATCACAGAGCAGAGTGAAATTGTCCAGTCAGGTCGTAGCTGGGTTCTTCAAATTAGTTTCCGGTGGCTGATCTGTAAGTTTGGTTTGCAGTGGAGATTCAAGATGGACGAGCTGTTCTACTCAGGTGGGTCGCCTTAGAAAATCACAGGAAACATTTTATTGTATTGCGTTCTGTATGTAGGCAGCGCGCAGGTGCTTCGATGTTAACACAGTTGTCCAAATGTATGTTTTCTATTCCAGGTGGGATATTTTATCTAGCGTTAGCCGAATGCTAATGTAGGATGTTAGCAAACGTAGCTGGCAAGAAAAATTTCAGGGGCAACGTTAGCCGTCCCGTACTCTGGTTTTACATGCTCCATTAATGTAAAGGTCTTTTATCTTTGATATTAATCGTGCAGCTCAGTAAAAAACGCAGGCCGGTTTGGACCTCACCAAGTCTTCATCAGCACGGAAACCTAACAAATTGTTTGCACCTGTATGTTTCCGCCCTGATGAAGACCAGGTGAGGTCTGAACCGGTCGGCGTCTTTTTACCGAGATGTCCTGTTACAGGTAAGAGTGCTACATTCAAAATGTTGCTTAAATAATAGTGTAAAGGCATTAGCAGGGAAATGTACCTAAATTACCAAAAATAATAGTCACTGTTAGTTTGTACAGGTTTCTGTGATAAGAGTAATTGTTATAAGTAGGACAAACATTATAGGACTAACTCACCCCATGTATCTTTCAATAGGCCACAGAACACACAGACTAGAATATGGGACTCGCACAGCTTAAATAGTTTCGGGCGTGATATACGAGGAGGACCGACAGTGTTCTGGGCCCTTGTCACTCCTACATAGGGACATCAAAATCAAGTTGATGAGGTGAAAAACATTCTAAAGTTGTAGTTCAAGTGAGAGTACTATACTAGTACTGATAGGTTCAGGTCAGACTGTAATTTCTCAGCTCTTTTTTCCTGACAATCTAATTTCAGAAGTGTTTGAGAAACTTTTGATATAAATTGTAATGAAAATTCTCAAAACTAACATGGAGCACAATGTAACTGCATGCAACATTTCATTCTTTGTTACAATGACCCTTTTTTTCCCCTGACAAACTTCCCTAGTTTGATATATGGTGTTCTAAGACAGCTGAAAGGTGTGCATATTAGTGTCTTTATAAGTACTTTCACTCTGCATTTGTGTCGACCACGTTTGTACACAGGGTCAGAATGAACTGTAGTGTAACAGGTTCATTACTGTATGATAATGAAGCTTTGTTGTTGTGCCTTAAATCAAAGGATCAGAGCCTGTATTGCTTTAGTAAAAACTGTCTTCTATCTGTAATGTTTATGGCAAACAGAATTTCTTAAATTCACTGTGAATAAACGTGTTTGGTGGAATTGGCTGATTGAGTTAACTCTGTTGTCACAGGTTCTGATTCAAAACTAACATGGAGCACAGTGTAATTGTATATAACATTTCATTCTTTGTTCCAATCTGACCCATCTTTTCCACTAACAACCTTCCTAGTTTAATATGAGGTGTTTTAAGACAGCTGTGCATATTAGCGTCTCTATAAGTGCTTTCACTCTGCATTTGTATCCACCACGTTTGTACACAGGGTCAGAATGAACTGTAGTGTAACAGTTTCAGTCACTGTAGGATAATGAAGCTTTGTTGTTGTGCCTTAAGCCAAAAGTTCAAGGCCTGTATTGCTTTAGTCAGAACTTTGTGTTCTGTTTGACCATTACATCCAGGTGGTAGGTCTTGTTTTTTGATAGCTTCTGTGTACATAACGAGGTCAGTGTTGAATTTTATAGTAACTCAGCTTTGCAGTCATTTAAAGATTTACATCTGGACATGAGTTAATGTTGTCTTTTGTTTCAGAGAGACCACTTTCCCAGATGTGGATTGTGCTGGAATCCAGTGAAGAACTGTACCACTGCCTTGGCTTTGACATTAAAGCAAAACCAAGTTACCTTTTTAATGACACTGGTTCAGGTCTTAGTTTTTACACTGAAGAACCAGTGCCTGATACCCTTGATATTAAAAGAAGAACCAGAAAGTTTCTGTTGTAATAGCTTTATTGAAGAACACACAATGTACCATTAAAACACTGAAGTTTTGGGCAAAGCAGAGTAACACTTACTGCATGTGCTTGGACTAGTCATGTAACTATATGGAGAAAATGTGAGGTACTCTGCTTTGATGACCCCATCAGTCGGGATTTCCCTCTCTTACCCAAAAGTTCAGCAGCTGGCTGAGCTGGGATGGAAAGCCTGGAGAAAAAAAAAAGCTTTGTAAATATTTGATTTCAATAATGAAATTCCTGTCTTTATGCACATCTGGCCATGGAAGGGCATCTGGTTCAAGATTGCCTAAGGGGGAAATGGAAAAAGTTGGATTTTAAAGTACGATATGCTCTATAATTGTAATCATGTTTTCTTTGACTTTTGCTTCATTTTCAATAAAATGACTTAGCAGGCACATTTGTACCTGGGAAGTGGACACTGCAAAGTTCAAGTCCACATCAGCCATTTAAAATACAAGAGATCTCACCAAATGTTGAAATAGTCTCCGAATTACTGGTGGCAAGTTCCAAGAAAAGGCGATGTCCTCCCTCTGCTGGTTCATCGCCATCATGTCTATAAGGAACAATCACTTTAACTCCCATTTTATTTACTCAACTTGTGAAGCAGGTCATGCAAGTTTGATCTATTACTTTCAACAAAATGTTACAGAAATATATTAGCAGCTCTGTACATTTTCCCTGTACCACAAGGTACATATTCAACATTTAGTAGGACGCAAACATGGATGAGAAAGCCTGTAATGATAATGAAAAGGCTCTACAAAAGCTAATGAAGCCACCTCAAGTGAGAATCATAAAGAACAAAGACGTCCTTCATACATCACAGACAGTCACCCCATACACTGCATCCTAAAAACGTCATTAAATCCTGGCATTACTTCCACCGTCAATAAAACCTGCTGATATTTTGAATGACCTTTTTCGGGCCGTTCATTAAATGACTGGCAGCTGATGGTTTGTCTGGACTTCAATCTAAACGGAGGCTCCATCTCACACAGACCAGGCAGAAAAACTCACTTAGCTAAAAAGGTTTCTCCACTACAACAAGGAAATCTGTGTCCAAGACCAGTGTCCTCTAAACATTAGTGAACTTGCTTGGTGTTTAAAACAAGAGGGTGCTAACATCAATCTAGTCCAGATGTATTGATATACAACACCGTTCCCATAACGCTGGCAGTCAGACTACAGAGCTAACTGGATAGGTGACTAGTTACCGCTAAGTCATGGCAAAAGCAAGTTTTAACAGTTAATCTCGTTGTTAAAATGAACATGCTAAAACAAAACACTAGCATACCTGAAGGCTAAGCACACATGGAGCTAATTAGGACACACGCCTGGTTTGTCTTCAGCTCTAAAGGCTTCTTGCTAGCAGAGTTTTGCTAAAACTACACGCCTCGCTAACTGCTTTACCTCAGAGTAATAGCTAGGCATCTGCATACACAAAGAACGCTACACATCAAAATTTAAAAGCACAAGACCTACAGACAGCCTTCATCACCAGCGAGCTGTGGCCGTCCGTCCTCCTTCAGAGTCTGTTGTCTTGCTGCCTTATATACTCCACCCACTGACAGGTGGATGTAACGAGCTCATCAGTGTGATTCACTTCACCTGTCAGTGGTCATTGTTATTTTCTTCTTCTTCTGTTGTTTAATGGCGGTTGGCGAACTGCTTTAGTGCATTACCGCCACCTTCTAGACTGGAGTGTGTGGTCATAATGTTATGCCTGGTCGGTGTTTATGTAGTACTGCTAGACTGACGGTCTGTGAAAACCCTGTCACTGGTTTGGTTGTCTCGGGTCTTTGCAAGAGCTGAGCTGAGCCTTTAAAGCAAATAGAGACTGTGTCACAGAGATTTGGTTTGACATTCAGTACTAAAGAGTCTACAACATTACTAGACCATGATACTCAGAGCAAATGAAAACAGTTGATGTAAGCGCTGTAACATGCCCATTGGTGGAAGTTGATGAAGGCTCACGGAGTGTAGTAGCTAATGTTACTCTAATAGATGAAATGAGCAGGAGGTAATGTGATTTGAACTTATGGTGAAAACGGCAGTCTTGCAACAATATAGCATGGGTTCGATTCCCAACAGAACTTTAGCTCATCAATTAAACATTTAAAATGAGATCACATTTGCCATCCAGCCTACTGAACACCCACTATTCAACATCTTTTAAGCTATGGGTTATTCAGACTTGTTTTAGGATATGAGTCATTGCACAAAATGTCAGGCTAAGCATATAGCTATAGCCTACTACAATCAGACGTGCCAAATTAGAAACATGGTCTTCAACATGAGTTCATGTTCATTTTATACTTTAGTGTCAGCATGAAACCATACAGCCATGTAGTGTAGTCGAACAGGAATGTGCATGGCAAATCAAATCCCAAAGAATCCATGAACCAACAAATGACACGTCTCGATTGCACTTAATTTTATTGACCACCAGATGTCCTGCTCGAGCACTGTGTCATTGGAGCCTGGAGTAATGAACCATTTTTTGAATAAAGTATGGAAGCTTCAACAAAGCCTCGATCAGCCATCACTATGTATGTGTCAATAGTCAGAATTCCTACTGGTAACGTGAGTTGTACTGCACTTTGCTGCATTCTGTCTGTATTATTTTCCTACCAACATACATAGTCTTTTTGCATAATGGTATCTATCTGGTAATCATTTCAATGTGTTAGGTTGACATGTAGTTTTTGTGAAATCAGTCCCCTCATTAAAATGCACATTTATGCAAATTCCTACCAGACCATCTACTTTATATGTACAGAGTTTCTGCTTTGAATTGTTCCAGACTTACTGTGTTCAAGAACATGTCTATTGCAGAGTCACAGACAGCAGCATGAACATAATGTCCCATCTAGGCTACTGTAGTAACGGGACATAAAAAGGCATGAAAATAAAAACAGACTTTTGAAAAATAGCACTTTAAAATAATAATGTCCATAATCACAATAAAAATAACACCCACAAACTCCATTAAGTAAGAATAATGAAATACATTTCAAAATAATGACTTAAGGTTTTAATATTTCTTGAATTTCACAAATGGCCTGTGAAAGTCCATATTTTCAACAATTCATATGATTATTAATTTCAATGTTGTTTTTATTTATTATTATTATTGAACACTCTGGGTTTCCATAAAAGGCTTTAAATCTGAACTGTCCTCACCTGTAAACCAACACCAAGTGTTTAGGTACTTCCATACTGATACACAGCCTCGCTATGAGCTACCCATAATGGCTATAAGTAGCAGCTACAGTAGTTTTCCTTTCAGCAAACAGCAAATGTACCACTGAACATTTTCACAGTGTAAAATCTTGTATATTCTGAGTGTTATGGTTGAAAAGAAAGAAGCATAATTCAGTCTTGGCACTGCTGACCTTTTAGAAATGTGCAGCAACAACAAATAAAACACACTGGATTAGAACTGTTTACATCAGGAAAGGCTGAAGGTGGAGGAAAGCTGAAGTGTTGGTAAGAGCTGACAGTTATTGCAGCCCCACAGACAAGCACACAGAGCAGTGAGGGTTTAGGATGTTTCTTGTGCTTCTACGCTGTTAGGAACATCGACAAAGTGTCCAAGGTTTGGTGAAAGCCATAAATAAGCACCCAAAAGACAAAACAATGTATTGTGTGTAGAATATAGAAATAAGAAAGTAAATGTGTTATCTGAGTAGGGAGGTACAGTACCATGAGTTCCAAAAACTGGCCTGAGTGCAGCCATGGTGAGAGAGAGACAGAAGTGTCTTACAGGTGGAGCCCACTGAAGGATTTATCACCTTCACATGCTACAGACAGGTAAATCAGCAGTAGCACTGCCGGCTGCCCTTGGTGACCTCCTCAGAGGAATGGACAGTGTTGGGAACAAATCCACTCTTAACCCCCTCCCAGCCATCCTGGATCTTGATGTCCCCGCAGCGCACTTGTTCAAAAATGGTCCTTGTCAAATCCACAAATGCCTGAAGTAAAAACCAGAAGCAAAATCAAAACTGGAGAAGAAATTGTGGAGGATAAAGCCAAAATGACTCATGATTACAAAAATATAGTCAAGTCAGATTATTGATAGAGCACATTTAAAAACAGTAAAAGTTTACCAAAGTGCTTTAAGGACAGATTAAAATATTTAATTGATAATTGCAATCAAATAAAAACACAGTAAAATGTAAAAAAAAAAAAAAAAAAAAAAAAAAAAAAACAATGGGAAAAAAAAAAAAAAGTCATAAAATATCTAAATAAAACCTTGGAAGAAACAACACTGCACATAACTTCAGTAAAAGGTGGTGTGTGTGGAGAGCAGACCCATCACACTGTGTTGGACTGCGTGCGTTTCTAAAATGGATTCGGGCGAACCGTGTCACGCCCATTGTAAAGTGGAGATTCTGAGCTTTCCATTGAGCTATGGGACGTGCTAACTGGGCGACCCAGAGCGACAATAAAGCCGTGCGTAACGGTGCGTCCGCGCCCTGCTTACCGTCGTGTGTACCAGAGTAGTTCCGCGATTTTGCCGCTATTTTGTGGAAACCATGCCGGAAAACACGGTAGGGACCAACTACACGGGTGAGGAAGCCTTGCTCGGAGTTTTTGACGATTCTTCGTATATTGATAAGGAGTACGCCTCTGAGGAGGAAGACTTGTTTTTACAAAGATTTGATCCCATCATTGATAAGTAAGTTGTGCTTGCCATTTTCTACCACGTTTATTGTCCTGACCCTCTGATTCATACTGAAGTGAACTTCTGTCTCTCTGTTGCACTGGAGTCCATGATGATAAATAATATTTCCCACATTTCTCAGATCGTTTTGTTCCTTTGGTCACACTTCTCAAGAAGGCTTGTTTTTTATTCAAGATTTGTTTGCGCATTGTCTTTCATTCTATGAGCCTATTATAACTGATTGCACTGTAACACTGTAAATAGTAAGATGTGGTGTTACCTGGTGTTTTATGTTTGCAAAAGCACATATGTTATTGAATAAAGCTGCTATTGTGCTAAAGTTATATCATGTCCTTATCTCAGCCTTGGAAAAAAGAGGGGGAGGATGAAGATGATGAATGGGAGCCCCCTCAACTGCATACAAAGAGAAGGTTTGTATACCATGTCAACATGTCGCTGTGTTACTTGAAAGATATTTCCCAGTTCTTTTAACCAGGAACTCAGAGAGACGAAGCGGACCACTTGGATATATAAAAAAAACCGTGCTGGTTTATTCAAAGAATCACAGGTAAAATTAACATTACACGTCCAGGTAACTTCCACCTCCAATACTGTGCGCAGGCAGACGAAGAATGAAAGACCCTGAACCATTAATGCCTATACATTTTATCACTTGGTTGGGCTAGCCCCATACTACACAGGGACGTCAAACCGTGACGTCACCTGATATGCCAGCTTTACAGCTGACCAGAGCAGTAGACAAAACATGGAGAGAATCAATGAGTGAGTGTTGATTTCGTGGTGTGTATCTAAGAACATACAGGACATTCAGGGACATGTCCGGACATTAAGCCTTGGACGATATTATGATTAAGATTACGGCTAAACATATCATAATAATAACAATAATCATCCTGCCTGCTGACAATCAAACTTTTTCTATCTAGTTATCCTTGACCATATGCACCCTGCTAAAAACCCATGAGAATGACTAAGCATTTAACAGCCTACCTAGACATCCTGTCTCCGCTAAACATTTCTAATACAACAAGTATCTAACCAATTTCTGTCTGACTAAAAAAATACCTAACAGCAGGAAGTGTACTGTATTACTTTACTGTGTCATTTTGTGTCCATATTTACGTTTAAGTAAATGTCATTGACTATGGTGACTGTAAAACACAAAGTTAACTAGATTTGTTTCTTTGTCTCACAGTCAAGAGGAGGAGGAGCATGAGCAAGATGAGTCATCAGGACCTTCAGGGTTTTGTTAGAAATTAATAATTCAGTCAGATAATTCTAGACATTAATGAGTTAGAGTTTAATGTGTTATTAATGCAGTTAGTAATATTTGAAGTCTGCTCTAGTGTGCTTTGCTTCAAGGTTAGAAGATAACGTTAAATCTGTAAAGTGTATCTTGACATCAATTGTTTTCTTGTATTAATCTTGTGTTAGATTTATGTCTGAATGATTGTTTTAGTTACACACCACGTAACAATATACTGTACACACACATGGAGTTCTTCATTTGTTCTGATTAATGCTTGACGCATGTGGAGCATAAGATAAGAGAAGGAGGCGTCGGACTGTCTCCGACTCATGATGATTCTATATCTGTTTGCGTAAAGGGGTTAGCCCAAGAAATTGTATAAATGTATTAGGCTCTGTGTTCCAGGGAGCTCTCTTCTCCAGCAGCCTGTCTGAGGGAGAGAGCCACCCGGGTTGTGCGTTTGTGACTTTTGACTTGTGGCCTTTTTAAAATAAACCAGCACTAAAATGAAACAAGTCAGACTCCGTCTTCATTCAGATCTGTCCAATAAAAGAACTGGGGTATTACAGTTTCAACCTTGTTTATCATCTTCACCCCCACCCCAGCCATCGAAGAGAAAGAGAAGAGCAGCTCCTCCTGCAGCCACCCCCCATCCCCCAAAGAGGATCGCACGATGTTCACAAAGGACAGAGCCATTGCCACCTTTGTCGCCCCCTTCCCCCAAACCTGCAAGGGACCAAAATCGTAGGAGAACTGGTTCAACAGCTTCATCCGGATCAACCCCCCCTCAGCCTGCACAATGCCAGAGAGGTGATGGACAACAGCAAGAAGGTGACATGTGGTTTGGGAAGGATGATCCTGACACACAGCCTCCCCCACACAGTTTCAGGCCCAGGCAACAATCCGGCCCAACTATTGATCCAACTTCCAGGTGGTCACCTCTTCAGCTATCCAAGCTTTTCTTCAGCATCCCAGTGGTCCAGACAATACTGCAAAACACTAACAAAATGGCACAGCAACTCAAAGCAGTGGGGAAGACGTTCCTCTGGAAACCACTGACAAGAAAGGAGTCCTTTCAGTTTTGGGCAATTGTGATTTTTTTGTGGACTGGTGAAGTGCCCCACGAGTGATCACTACTGGTGGAAAACACCACCGTACAATTTCAGGTTTCCTGCCAGCGTGATGAGCAGAAATCGTTTCTATGCCATTTTCTGGTGTCTCCACCTTAGTGACCCAGATGAGGACAAGGAGAACAACATAAAGAGAGGAACACCACAGTATGACAAACGCTTCAAAATCAAGCCCCTCTATACTCACATTATGGTAGCATGCAAGAGACTGTATCACCCACACCAAAAGCTCTCTATAGATGAGAGAATAGTAGCCACAAATGCAAGGTTGGGCTTCAAACAGTATCTTCCACTCAAGTCCATCAAGTGGGGATTAAAACTCTTTGTTATAGCTGATATGCATGGCTACACCTGGAATTATTTCATCTACGAAGGAAAGACTCCAGAGCATCTTACAGTGGGATTAGGTTACTCTGCAGTCATGAAGCTTCTGGAGCTTCCACTTTTAGGTGCAGGATATCAAATCTACATGAACAATTTCTACACCAGTCCAAAACTCTTTAGCAACTTGGATAAGAACAACGTTATGGCTTGTGGCATGGTTTGGGAAACCCGCAGAGGATTTCTGAACACAAAACTAAATAGATTGTCAGAGAAGGCCAAGAGGGGGGACTTTAGATGCTAAGAGCTGGGAAACTACTGTTTGTGCAGTGGATGGACACCAGACAAGTTTCTGTCTTGACAAACTTTCATGCAGCCTTCAGTGGGTTCACCATGACTCAGAGGGTGAGGGGGGATGACGGAGCGATTTCAAGGAGCGATGTTCCAATACCTGATGCAGTGAAGGATTATAACGCATACATGGAAGGAGTGAACTTGTCACATGCACTGATCAGGTATGACAGTGTTCTGCATAAGACTATGAAGTGGTACAAGAAGGTTTTTTTTTTTCCATATAGTGGACATCACTGTTGCTAATAGCTACATATTGTATAGTCAGCTTGCAGCTGGGCGTGGTGCCAGACCAGTGACACAAATGCAGTTCTATGAGCTCCTGATCCAGAACCTGACTAACAATGACCTGCATTCTGTGCCACAACAAGTAATCACACATGGACCAATCTTTCCCTCCACAGACCCCACCAAGGGAAGGAAGGCATGCGCTGTTTGTAGAAACAAAACACAGGTCACGTGCAGGAAGTGCAACGCTGCTTTGTGCCTGTTACCTAAAAGGAACTGTTATGTGAAGTGGCACGATGAAAAAAGATTTGATTCCTCAATAGACTGTCTGTGACACAGTTTGCTTTGTGATAATGAAGAGTTACCGGCCTAGTTTTGTATCTTTGCTTTGACAGTCTTCTTTTATATATTCTTTTTTTTACAGAAATTTTATACAGTTTGAGGTACTTTTTGTATATTTTATTCAGATTTACCACCGTTTTCAATAAATCTAAAGCACTGTAAAGCTGTCCCTGGTAGGCTAGTGGTTAAGGTGCAGCTAGTGGTTAACATCCAGTTACAGATTCTCCACTGTCAAGATTTTCTACTTGCTTTTGTCCTTTATGACAACAAACTGAGTATTGTTGGGTTTTGGGCTGCTGTTCTGATAAATAAAGTTCAATGGGCATTTTCACTATTTTTTGACCAAAAGATTAGGAAAATAAGCAGCAAGATGAATTGATGATACAAACAGCCAGTGGTTGCACTATTTGGCAAAAAGTGTTTTTAAGCAACAGTTTTATCAGTTAAATTTGAGAGCTTAGTAGAATCACTTTACTATGACTGAGATAGTTTATAGCTGCCATGCCAGACTACATTTCCCTTTATGTCAGCTTCTGCTTTACTGCACCTTCTTCCTGCTTTATGCCAGAAAGCAGCTATGCAGATTACCTGTAAAGGGTAGAGAAGTCTTTTGTGGTTGTGATCTGGTTTATTTATACAATATACAGGTTTACTGAGAATTAAAATATTAGCACCTTTTCCATCAGATTCTACTGGCTGTTTTAATGAGAGGTTAAAGTAAGTGGAGTCACCCCTATGTGTCACTGGGCAGAAGATTAAATGCATGCACATCTATCCTGATCAAACTAAAATAATATTCACACCTTCTCCACATTGATGGCGTCTCGTGCTGACGTTTCCACGTAGCGCATCCCATAGGCTCCTGCCAGCTTCTCCGCCTCCTGCTGGGTCACCTGACGCTGGGCCTCCAGGTCGCACTTGTGACCGACTAGCAGGAAGATGATGCTGTGCGGCTGGACGTGGCTCTGGGCCTCCTCCACCCAGTTATGAACGTTTTGAAAGGAGCGACGGTTTGTGATGTCAAATAATAGGAGACCACCCACTGAATTGCGGTAGTAGGCTCTGGTAATAGACCTAGATAGAATGATAGTAGGACTGAGTTTGGGCATGTAAACTGGCAAATGCAAGCTACAAAAAACTTCCTGTTGTTGCGTCAAAACAAATCATTTCAAAGCCTTCATCTAGCCATCCAGTATACTGAACTAACCCTGACAGGTATCATCTGCCTGAAGTCTGATGAAACTGTGTGTCACAAGACTTACAGAGAGAAATTTAAATGTGCTTTATAAAAAGCTGACAGAAACTAATGTTGATGTCCAAAAACTACACAAAGCATCAGTGAGACAGACTGTTGTGCTGGCTGACATGTTCCTTCATCAGTGCTGTCATAAAAAAACCTAAACCACATCCACAGCTGAAAGCAGTCTCCAACTAATGCACAATTTACTCTATAAAAATATTTGTTTCACAAATGTTTTCTAAGACGGTAGTGCCCAGTGTTTGTGCCCTATTTTTAAGAGTTACATCTTCAGTAAGAATAAATCCCCAGAGATGCTGGGCTGCAGTCACAGGCCACTCTCAGCTGTGGTGGTTACGTGTCACTGAAAATCTTCATGAAAATAAAATAAAATAAATCAATAATGGCCAGTTAACCCAAATCACACATTTATATGTGTTGAAACATGTTATCCCAGTTAAAACACACACACACACACACTTGCAAAAAATAAAAGAATACATTGAAGAGCAGCAGAGAGTGGTGTGAGTTTTGCTTAGTTTGTCAAGATGCTGTTTGATGAGGCTTCTGTCTTTACCTGAACCTCTCCTGTCCTGCAGTGTCCCAGATCTGCAGTTTGATCCTTTTGCCCGGCTCAATCTCCACCAGGCGGGAGAAGAAGTCCACCCCGACGGTTGGGTCTGACACCTGGGCGAAGCGGCCCTCAGTGAACCTCCGGATCAGGCACGACTTGCCGACTGTGGAGTCTCCGATGACGATCAGACGAAACTGATAAAGCCATATTGTCTCCATGTCTCACGAGAATAAAATCTGTGGCAAAGTAAAATAAACAACTCATAATCATCCATATTACAAATTTTTGTTATTGTGCACTTTTCTTGTCCATAAGTTAATACTGTTCACTAGTGATAAAAAAAAATCTGTTTCATATGTAGACCCCCCCCCCCCTCCCCCAACATGACATAGCAAGAAACCACATCTACATTATGGAAAATCTTCTGCCACACTTTCAAACTTTTTCATAAGAAAGAAAATGACAAAAACGGCAATAAATGAAACAACGTAGACTGAACACACCACAGGGACTGTGTTTTTAAAAAGATCAGTATTATATTCAGATTAAACAAATGATCTATTAATCTACAGACTGTGTTGACCACGTGGTTAAACTGGGAATGACAGGCTCAGCCCACCTGAGCAGGGCTGGTGTGCTTTATAGCTGGGTGATCTAATTTGAGGGCAGGGAGGGGGAGGCCACGCCTTTCCAGCTCAATAAACACTGGCGTGGTCAGCCCCCATGTGGGTAGCAGAAACACACAATGAAGCCAGCTACACTCAGCTTAATGAGGAGATCGCTGCTAAACCTGACTGATACCTGAGATGAGAAATGTACCGCTTCCCCTTAGAAGGCCAATAGTGACAGCTATAATAAGACATCCCATAAACTTTGCAACAAATAATGAGCTAACTGTGTTAATCACGAGGCCCGGTCGTTTTAGACTATTGCCAGTTATGAGTATAGTTTACTTCTGTGATTAATATCTTGGATAGCAGTTAGTGATGACCTACCTCAAAGTTCAGAGTTCAGTATCTGTAAAAAATAAAACCCATATCGATGATTCAATCTTCTGAAAATGATTATCCAGACTAGCAGTGGTTGTGTTGTGGCTTACAGAAGTAACCCGCCACTAACATCATATTATTAAGCGGGTCTGTTATCTACCATCACTGTGCGAGCCAAGCTGCTGGTTCATATGAGCAGAAGTGTTGATATTTCCGCGATGACCCGTTGATGAAATGGCAGCAGGACACAACAGCATCACGCATCTCCTTCTCGCCCTCATCAGCACCATTACCGTAAATGCAGGCAAAGAGACGCGGTAGCGATCTTCACACTGCTGCCTTCAAAGGCTGTGAAACAGGAAGCGAGCGCACATTAAATTAAAGTTTGTTTTGACAGATAAGATGATGCAATGATTTCTTATTCATCCTCATTTGTAAACTACCGGCATACAGTGTGATTTTATTATTAGTTTTGATCTTTAGGAAAAATATCCACACACCAGCAAACAAATATGTTAGGAGAGATGGCACAACGACAAAATCTCCTATAACCTCAAACATTAAAGAAAGAAACAAACTATAAAAAGACAATATATATAATCTTTTGTGAATTACTATTAGGCATGAATTTTAAAAAACGTCCAGTAACTGAACGCCACACCTATGCTACAGGTTTTATGATAACTAGATGTGATCATGTTGAAATAATCTAGTGACAAACTGACAACCTAAAAGTGACTCACTTTGGCTCCACTACGTTTATCCGACAGCTATGATAACTAGTTACCTTGCAAATTAAATGGTCACACACTATTTTTACTTCAAGATCCTCTGAATCTCTTGTTTACGACGAGCACGGGAACGCACCACCAGTCGCGCCAGCCCCGAAGTTGCTCACAGCCCAGAGTCGACAGTGAAGCAAACGGCTTCAGGCGAGTGATTAAAGAAGGGTGACCTGTGCCTTTTTTTTGCAAATATTGGATCATAACACCAAAATGTTTCTTTCAGTTCCGATATAACATCCTTGTAACTGCGTCGTAAAGTTTACATAATTCTATCGGGGGAGTTTTTTGGAAGTTTTCGCAGAGCTGCAGCAATGCAGCAGGAGTTTTTGTTCAAAGTCCTGGTCATCGGAGACTTGGGAGTCGGAAAAACGTCCATCATCAAGCGGTACGTGCATCAGATCTTCTCCCAGCACTACCGAGCCACCATCGGGGTGGACTTCGCCCTGAAGGTGCTGCAGTGGGACAATAACACGGTGATTCGGCTACAGCTGTGGGACATAGCAGGTCTGTCAAACTTTAATGACCTCATACCTCCCACTTTACAGGATTATTATACATCAGGTACTGCCAGTACTGTTAGATTTTATTAACTGTTCCCAATACAGTCAACTCCTTTATGTTGATAACAAAAAAAGACATACAACATAAACATGGTCAGATGGAGATTTGTGCAGTGAGTGAAGTGATCTCCTTAGTGAAAATGTGTGTCTGTCTGCTGGATGCCTGGGTCCCTCCCTGTCACTTAATGCCTGGCTGAGGAATGTAGATCCTGAGTCTGGCTGTGACTCGTGATCCCAGGCTCATAATAACAGTGATGGTGGCTATAACAGACTCAAACGCACACAAAAACATGTTCCTGTATTGGTCACTAATAAACCGTGTAGTGAGTTAATCTGATTTTATGGACTTGAAAGGTACCTTAACATAAATGGGTGTGTTTGTTCATCTGATGGCTGTTCATGTGTCCTAGGACAGGAGCGCTATGGGAACATGACTCGTGTCTTTTACCGGGAGGCGGTGGGAGCGCTGGTGGTGTTTGATGTGACGAGGGCCTCCACGTTTGATGCAGTCCTGAAGTGGAAAGATGACCTGGACTCTAAGGTCAGATGACAGCTCTGGGAGCGCCGCAGAGTTGACCCACCTCAGGTCAACATCTGACAGGAAGGCTGAGGCCTTCCCTCTGACCTCTGTTCCTTTTGTAAACGTGTTTGAAAAAAATCTGAGTACACCAGCTCATGGTGGGTCACAACCACACACTGAAATAGTTCATGTAAAAGTAAGGGTAATGTTACTGTCATGGATAAATATTGTCATGGTGTGCTGAAAGCACAGCAGAAAAAGATTTTACAGAAGCACTGAGATTGAATGCATTAACAACTAGCCTTAATTTTTTATACATATTTCCATATATGCTACCTTGTTTTAGGTTTAATGTTAAGTTCTTAAGTTCTTAGCAATTACTAACCAGTAATTAACAAAATGTGGTTGCGCCAGTAAGACTTTACACAAGCGTCACAAGCTAGCATCATTTCCAAACTCTTAACTAGTAAAAACTTTAGCAATTTGTAAATCAGTTGCTAGGAAACATTTGCAGCTGTCCAATAAAAGAACTATGTAAACAGGAAGTCACGGTGGCGTCACAAGCTAGCATCATTTCCAAACATAACAGTTCAAAGTCTTTATTTTTTCATATGCACAGTTAGGAAACGTGTTTCCCTGTACAATGAAATTCTTACTTTGCCGTCCACATGAATGCCACAAAATACAAATGAAATATAAAGTAGATAAATAACACAGAATCTAAGGCACTTTAAGGAGCAGCAGATGCAGCAATATAGTAAAAAAAAATATACAAGAGTATAACAGAATGTATGCTGCATGGGAGCAGCATGTGCAGCAGTCAACAGTCATTGTGCAATTATACATGTGCAAACTGAGAATGTAAACAGTACAGGTCGACAGTACATGACGTATTTCCTTGTAACAAACTCCTCAGCTGTTTAGGAGTCTGATGGCAGAGGGAAAGAAAGAGTTTTTCAGTCTAGAGGTCCTGCATTTCACACTTCTGAACCTCCAGCCAGAGGGCAGGGAGGTGAACAGTCTGTGCTGGGGGTGGGTGGGATCTTTGAGGATGGAGGGCGTCTTCCTACACACCCTGCGGTGGGAAAAATGAGTGGTGACTATAGACCGGGGTAAAGCTGGGGCAAGTGAGGTGACACAAGACAAGGTCAAGTTCAAAGTGTTTATTTGTCATATGCACAGTTAGGAAACGTGTTTCCCTGTACAATGAAATTCTTACTTTGCCGTCCACATGAATGCCACAAAATACAAATGAAATATAAAGTAGATAAATAACACAGAATCTAAGGCACTTTAAGGAGCAGCAGATGCAGCAATATAGTAAAAAAAAATATACAAGAGTATAACAGAATGTATGCTGCATGGGAGCAGCATGTGCAGCAGTCAACAGTCATTGTGCAATTATACATGTGCAAACTGAGAATGTAAACAGTACAGGTCGACAGTACATGACGTATTTCCTTGTAACAAACTCCTCAGCTGTTTAGGAGTCTGATGGCAGAGGGAAAGAAAGAGTTTTTCAGTCTAGAGGTCCTGCATTTCACACTTCTGAACCTCCAGCCAGAGGGCAGGGAGGTGAACAGTCTGTGCTGGGGGTGGGTGGGATCTTTGAGGATGGAGGCAGTCTTCCTACACACCCTGCGGTGGTAAATGCTCTGCAGAGAGGGCAGTGGAGTCCTGGTGATCTTCTCTGCAGTCTTTACCACTCTCTGCAGGCGCTTGCAGTCCATAGCAGTAGTGCTGCCATACCAGAGGGTGATGCAGCTGGTCAGGATGCTCTCAATGATGCAGCTGTAGAAGCATTAGATGTTTAGAAGACTAGATGAGACACTAAATCATCATCTTTTTTTCTGTCCTAAGGTGACTCTGAACCATGGAAGACCACTTCCAGCTGTCCTCTTGGCCAACAAGTCAGACCAGCTGGCTTCCCTGCAACCCAAACTCGACTCCTTCTGCAAGGAGAATGGCTTTGTTGACTGGTTCGAGACCTCTGCAAAGGTACAAGAGGGGAGACGCAGGAGGGCCCATGCATTCTGAAGAAGCCAACTCATATTGAAAAACAAAATTAGATGCAGTCATAAAAATTCCACAGATCATTTGATATAATAGAGGCTTCTGTGCAAATGCAAGCCAGCAATATAAAATGTCAAAGGCCTTGTTTGGCTTACCCCCCAAATTAACTGTGCGCTATTGTTGAGCAGGGGGGTTGATTTGAGGCAAAAACAAAAGTCTTAATTTAGGACTGAAAGAAATAGTTCAGTCATCTGTTCTATACCTAATTTGCACACTCACATTAGAGATAATTGGCACATTAAAACAATAGCAAAGCTATTACAACACTGTGCATGTTAGAGAACTTTACTTGCTGTGCTCTCAAGAGGTAAATAGAGGAATGTCTGCAGTCTGGTGTGAATAAGCCTTCTGCTTACCCTCCTCTTTACGAGCCTATCTAATGAGTTACACACCAGAGTGTCAGTCAGAGGTTTAGCTGGTGAACATGAAGGCTCAGCGGACAGCTCAGGACAGAAAGAATACCAGTGTGACGTCTTGGTTTGCATTAGCCTGGCATTAGTTTTAGCAACTGACTGAAGAGAAAATTGAAAAATGAAGGTAAATTAAGTGTCATTATCTTGTAATTGTCACTTGTGGCCACAGTGGCCGCGATTCTGCTAAAAGTACATAGTTTTACTTTAAAGGACGAGGCTTGTATTTGCTCTTAAAGTAATTTTTTTTTTTTTACAACATGTATTTTACTTTTATTGCTTTGGCCATCATTCCTATCACATTTTACTCACCAGACTGATTGTTGAGGTCATGGTTAAACATTACAAACTGCAATACCAATGCTAACACTGACGCACAACACTGATGTTTAGGTGCTTAGTTTAGTGTATTAGCATGCTAACATTTGCCAGTTAGAAGTAAACACAACTACAGTTGAGGCTGATTTTTGCAGCTGTTTGGTCATACACTAATCTGATGATGGCACTAGGTGAAACATTGTCATGATATTTCACACTGGGTCACAAACCTCAGTCAGAGGATCTGCAGCCTCATTGAGATTCAGCCTCTGGGCTTTGTGAATGGTTGAACAAAAACCAATGGTAATGCATCCAACGTTCGTTGGGATATTTCTGTCTTTGCCAAAGTGTCGGATGGACTGATGGACAAACACCAATAGTGTGATTCCTTTACGATTTTTTTATACCTCCCTCAGGAAAACACAAACATTGAGGAGGCAGCACGCTGCTTGGTAGAGCACATCCTGAACAACGAGGAGAGCCCAGTGACAGAGCGAGACCCTGGCTCCCTCATCCTATCTGGACACACCAACAGCTCAAAGGATCATCTCAGCTGCTCGACATGTGCAAAATAATGGCCTCCTGACCAATCGCAGACAACCAGGAAGTTAACAGCTGGGAGGCCACAGCCAAAGAGATAAATTTGGCTCAGGAACCGTTTGTAAAAAGTCACTATGTGCAGATGGAGCATATCTTTGGACTCTGGACGGGGGCCTGAGTACCCAGAGGAAACCCACACATGAAGGCCATGCAAACTCTACACAGAAAGTCCCCGATCAGCCACAAGGTTTCAAACCCAGAACCTTCTTGCCGTGAGGCAGCAGTGCTAACCGCTACACCACTGTGCTTGCCTGCAAAATGACCACAAAGACACAAAACATGCACAAAGTGACAAAATGACCAGACAGTGATGGAAAACAATCCCAAAGACTCAAAATCATAAAAAACACAAAGTGATGCAAAATAACTACAAAGAGAAAAAATGTCTACAAATGAAATGACTACCATGAGACACAAGAATCAGGGCTTCAAATTTGAGTCTAGGCATATTTTTATCATTTTACAAATGTGCCTCCCTTCTCTGAATCTGTGCACATTCAGTTTCTACCAACACTTGGCAGAGGAGGAAAGTAACTAAGTACCTTTACTCAAGTACTGCACCTAAATACAATTTTGAAGTATCTGTACTTGACTTGAGTATTTTCATTTTCTGCTACTTCATACTTTGACTTCACTACATTTTAGAGGCCAATATTGTACTTTAGTCCATCCATCCATCCATTTTCCTCCGCTTATCCGGGACCGGGTCGCGGGGGCAGCAGTCTAAGCAAAGATGCCCAGACTTCCCTCTCTCCAGACACTTCCCCCAGCTCCTCCGGGGGAACGCCGAGGCGTTCCCAGGCCAGCCGAGAGACATAGTCCCTCCAGCGTGTCCTGGGTCTTCCCCGGGGCCTCCTCCCGGTGGGACATGCCCGGAACACCTCCCTAGGAAGGCGCCCAGGAGGCATCCGAAACAGATGCCCGAGCCACCTCAGCTGGCTCCTCTCGATGTGGAGGAGCAGTGGTTCTACTCTGAGCTCCTCCCAGGTGACCAAGCTCTTCACCCTATCTCTAAGGGTGCGCCCAGCCGCCCTGCGGAGAAAGCTCATTTCGGCCTCCTGTATCCGGGATCTTGCCCTTTCGGTCATGACCCAAAGTTCATGACCATAGGTGAGAGTCTATGCAGCAGTAGTTCAAATTATGTGTATAAGGTAGCTAAAACTGCCTCCACTTTTACCTGCTGTGACATTAATGTGCACAATAAAGCATCAATAGTTATAATCCATTAATATGATATAGGCCTACATTAATGTGAAATGTGGCATTCTGCATTATGAGTACTTTTACCTTTGCTACTTCAAGTATATTTTGATGCTAATGCTTTAGTACTTAACAGAGTTTTTTTGCTGTGGTGTTTCTACTTTTAGTACTTCTTCCACAACTGACTGAAACCTTAAAACCATATTGTCATATTTTCTCCCCTCAACATTCAGAAACAGTCATCGTGGTCAAATTGTGATTACGATCACGCATCAAAACATGCAGTGTTCTCAAGTGTCTTCTGTAACTGAGCAAGAAATGAGCAAATGACCTGTCTGATGGCTCTGGACTATATGTCCAGCAGTTACAGCCTCCTATATGTCAATATCCATCTGCTGAAGCCTTATTTCTTTGCTAATATAAAGTGCAATCCCTTTATGTAACATTAATAAGCATTTGAAGGATACATCCCATGTATTCACGACTGGCTGGTAAATGTGCAGACATCTCTTTTCACATCCTGAATAGATGGACCTTAAATCTGTTCTTGCATGCTACTGAGAAAAGCCCACAAGAATCTGTTGAAGTCAGAATTAAACAAAAATGCTGCAGAGATAATGGAGGAGAGGCAATTTAACAGATATGTCCATTAAACGGACCATTCAATCACTTGAAGAAACCTAAAGGCTATTAGTGGTTAGAGAATTGCTTTAATTAGGAATAGCAGTGGTAATGTGTAAACTGTTTTTGTGGTTCTTTTGTCTTTTCGTGATGTACAGTCTCCTTCTTGTTAGGCTCTGATTTCCATTTTATTGTGTATGTGTGTTGTGGTTTCAGTAGTGCTGACATTTCTCTACCAAAACTACACTTGAACATCTCTAAAAGGTTATTATTTAAACTGCCTTTGTTGAGTCCGCCTCGAATGTTAGTTCAAACTCCATGTTTTCAAGTCAGGCACCTGCTCTATGCGTTACTTAGCCTCCTTAGACATGGACTAGCCTCATCATGCAACACATTAGTAATTGCATATAGAAAAAGTCAAATGTCACATCATCTCACCTCAAACCAGCATGTTTCACCATCAAAATATGACAGTCAGGAATTCTATGATAAATGTCAAATAGTCCCTAGTTCCTGCTTTCAACTTGTGTGAATTTGTTCCTTTTCTGTTTTCAGTAACATTAAGCTGAATAAATGTGGGTTTTGGAGTGTTGGTCAGACAAAACAAGACGTGAAGATGTCACCCTAGGCTTTAGTAAATTTCATAGACCAAACAATTAATTGAGATAATCAGCTGATTACTCGTTAATAAAAACAATAGTTAATACCTACTGTAAAATAATAATATGCTGTTGCAGAAGCAGAAGTCCCTGCAGGAACAGGTTTTGGTTGTGTGAAGTGAATGTTTTCAAATGGTTCCCAAATGATGTTTCCAGTTTCCCAGGAAACTGCAATAATTCTCTGTAATAACAGAAGTGGTTCCCACAGAAAATCCTTTTAACAATGGAAAGTATAACCTTTAAAAACCATCTTCAGAAGTAGTTTTTAAAATAAAGTAGGAACTATTAAATGCTTCCTGATGGTAGAAATGTCATTTAGATGCATGATATTGGAATAAAATGAATCAAACTGGAACATTGCTGGAAATTTATTTTGAAAATGTCACCCAAAAACAAATTATAATGACTATATGTTTGAACGGATTTTTATTATAGTGCCATAATAAAACTGCATAAAACAACGTAGTTAACATGGGATTACTGCTGAAAAACAGAGGCCAGCAGATAGATTTAGTCTTTATGAGAAATCATACTGAAGCAGGGCACAAGCATGACACAAACGAAACTGATGGCTTTTACTCCCTGTGTCTGTCCCTGTCACTGGACAGCAGGTAATCAGGGAGAGTCTGCCCTCCACATGCACCGACTGAGATGCTTTCTTTGCCTAGAAAACCCGGGGCAGCCTTCTGCTTTAAGATGCCCTCCCCGGACCCGAGAAGTGGCCCAATCGCCCTCCTCTCCCAGTCACCTGATTCATGTACTGCCATTTTACACACAAGTTTGACTGACAAAAAAAGACTGAATTGGCCTATCGGCAACCTCAACACAGAAATACACCCTTTTGTAAGAACATTAAAAAGACGGGGGATAGAAATCAAAGCTGCTGAGGGTAGATGCAGCCAGCGCGGGGTGCCGTGTGGATCACAGAGGGGTTTGCGCTCGGATCTCTGCATAGATTCAGAGGTGAAACCGGGTGAAGAAGAGGGGGAAAGGGAAAGACAATGCTGTTTTATATCGCATTTGAAAATGAGTCTTCAGTCATAGGAAATGCCGCATAGATCTGATAATAATCACCGGTAGTCTCTCGATTATTTTGGATTCAGTCCTCGTACAGGCGCATTCCGCCGCCGGCATCTCACCCTTGGCAGAGGCTATTTCAGGGATAGCTGCTCACTGTACATTGTCTTATATTATTAGCCTATACTGAGCTGTTTTTGATGCAGGCCTCTTTAATTATACACAGCTTTTTATAGCCTATCGGGTAATGCATTATTTCAGCAGCTGGGTCATCCCGATGCCTTCGACTGAATATTAAATGGTTCCCTGGATGTGACCGTCTTATGTTTTATTTGGCCGCCGCATGAATTCTCCCACCGGATCCTGGTCGTTGTACACTGCTGTCCTGCTCCTCCTCCTCCTCCTGCTCACACGGCCCATTCTCGCAGAGGGCACTACCCTCCTCCCTGCCGCTAAAGACATTTTTATCGTCCTCACCGGTTCCCCCCACCCGGACTCGACCATCACTCCGCCTGCCTCCCCATCCACTACCTCCACCTCCTCCTCTGTAACATGTCGGGACAGTCTTTGACGGACCGGATCGCCGCCGCGCAGCACAGCACGACCGGGTCTGCCATCAGCAAAGCCGTCTGCAAGGCCACGACGCACGAAGTCAGCGGACCCAAGAAGAAACACCTTGACTGTAGGTTAAGCATAACATCACTACCATTACTATGCATGCATCAAGCTACCAGCATCTTTCCTCACAAAGGATGGCTTGTATAAACAGCATCTATTATGCTTTCTTCCTCTATCGTTATGTTTGTAGACTCTTTAAATGGGCACCATTACATTCCCTTGGATTAAAATGGGATTTACGCAGTAAACCATACACTACAATGTACCTGGTCATTAAAGCAAGCAGTTACATTTAATTTAAGGCAAGGGGAGAACAGCCAGGTAGCATCAGTGCATGTCATTCAGAGGAAATAGGCCACTCTGGTATAGACCAATCATATTGCAACCAGACGCTTTACAGCGTAGGCCTATCCATTAGCCACTATCAGCAGCAGCACTATATCCTCTGGAGACACTCTAGTACAGAATGCGCCTTATTCCTGCAGCATCACTTACATTTTCTCTTCATTTTGATCATCTGACATTCAAGTTCACTGCCCTGTCCTTTAGTGCCTTATTATCATTAATGAATGGGTTACTGGTATCAGTCCAGAGTTCTCCAGGAGCAGAGTCAGTGAGTGTATTGTGTGTACTGTAGCTGTGCTAGGGGGTGTTACAGTGGGGCTTTTTTGTTGTTTGTGTGTCAGTACAGATTTTTTATCTCCCGCTAATCACCTGAGTGTGGTGCAAACTGCAGCAGGTGTGCACACATGGGGAAAGAGAATTCCTCACATGTAGATTTTACCAGTGGTTATTGACTTTTCTGCCTCACTATAATTACTTGACATGGTCAATAGAGAGCACAGGAAATCAATGGCACTGCCAGTCAGAGCCACAGACAGACAAAGAGACAGGCAAATAGCAAGATGGCTAGTCATAAGGAAATGTAGATGCATCAGTCTGAGAGAAACAGCAAGTTCGGTAGCCAAACAGCCCCAGAGTCAGTCGTCCGGCTACACACCCAGCCAGTCAGCCGGCGAGTTTGGCACTGGATTAGTCAGCTATATCTACAGCAGAGGTGACACTGGGAATTCTGGGCTCCCTCATAAGATGTGCCACAGCCATTCAAACACAATTCATCTAAATCAGGGCTGCATCACTTTGCTCTATAAAGGCCACTAAAGCAGAAAAACCTAGCGGGGGTGTTCAAAACAGTTCAGAAGCATGTCTGTGTGCATTTACCACAAACCTTTTATAACTCGATTTTTAAATGAGTAATTACTGTGCTTTGATTTCATACTAATCTCCTTATCTTGATGGTGACCAGCACTAAAGGCTATTCATTTAAGCTTTCAGTGGTATTACTGCTGTATCTATGAGGATGATTCAGCGGTATTACTGCTGTATCTATGAGGATGATATTTTATATTTCGGCTGTTACTCACAGGAACCACCTGGAAACCTCAGGTACAGATAGAAACTGGAAGATTTCTGCAGTACAGTGAATAAAGACTCGGAAGAAAACCAAGCCAATGAGTTTTCCAAATAAAAAATTGTTATAAGTGCAAAACAAATAATCAAATTAAGTGCAGCAAGCGATTGCCTCCATTACTGCATTACACATACGCTTTATTAGAACATATTACCCCTGCAGTTAATTCATGACAGAAGATCGTCCATCTTCTGTGCTCACTGTGAGTCAGAGTCTCAGAAACCAGTTAATGTCACTTAACTCAAGGGTGAGAGCAGATATTCTCAAAATAGAACTGGAGCATTTACACGACAAAATTTCATTTGTCAAATGGACTACAAAAATATCCCCGCTTGCAAGGACATTGAAGTGTCTTTTAGAATGGGTCGGTTTATTCTGGCCAAGGTGCTTTTGTTCTGATCCGGCTCTAGTTCAGATCGTTAGTGGAATAAAAAGCTCCAGGCCAAAGGAGAAACTGTAGGCCTGGCTCAGTTCACCTCTCTGGCAGCTTGAAGCTTGAAATTTTCGTTGAATGAGTGTTTTGTACTGGAGCCATTCAAATGCAGCTGTTCTAATAGACATAGCTAGCTTCCACCATAAAACGCTTTCTATTTCCTGCTAGAGGGCCTCACTTCTCTGTCCAGGACATGATAGAACATACAACTCTCTCTCTGGCTCAGAGTAGAGTAGAGGCTGCACTTTCAGAGTTAGAGAAGAACCAAGGAAGGAAGTGTGTTTGTAATCATAAGGTCAGTGGTGCTAATCTCTCGACTGGTTGAAATGACCTTAGTGGAAAGTGAATAAAGAAAGTGCAAAGAAAAGGCAATGAGCTATATAGCTCTAAAGGCGCTTCTGATGAGTCAGCTACAACTGTATCGACTGTGGGTCGATCTCAGGTCTGAGAGTTCAGACGTGTTACCCGTGCTCTTGTTGTGCAACTCACCCAGATCACATTTGGATTTGAGAGTCTTTTCTGTTATAAAAAGTGACAGATACAGAACATGCTCTCTATTTTGAGGTAAGCAGGGGGAGAAAGCTGAGGTGACACCAGAACATCTGGGTTTTGGTCTGGAAGTAAGAAAATCCTGTTCAAAATCCCACTGACATTTGTAATAATATGACAAATTTAAAATACAGCCTTGGAATTAGTTAAAACCATTCATCCATCCAGCCAATCCCAGCTGACATTGGGTGAGAGGCGGGGTCCACCCTGGACAGGTCGTGTTAAAATCATGATCTTTCAGTTTCTAATAGCAAGTGCTGCAGTGGATTTGTCTCAGGATAAGGAAAGTAAGTCTCCCAAAAAAAATTTACAACTATGGCAGCATAGGTACTTACATCACTGAAACTCGGTTTCATACATATCCATAAAATTCCCTTATAAAATCACTCTTCTACTAAAACACCGTTCTCTGATCTACTACATTGCAGTTAACTGTGACCCCTCGACTTGCTCATGGATTCGTCTCTTCTGTCGAGACTTTTAGCCTGTGAAGGTTTAGGGCATTTGGAAAATGGTATTTGTTAAATGCTGCTAAAGATCAGAAATATTAAATGATGACACCATTGGAACATTTTTTTCCAACAAAACAACTTCCATCTCTATCTATACATACGAAACAAGATACACAGCATGCTGTTGAGAAAGGCTGGTTTACCAGGGTTGTATTTATATACCTCCGTGGCGGTGATAGCCACGGTCAGAGGCATTATGGTCTCGGGTTGTCTCTCCGTCCCATTCCTGTGAACGTGATATCTCTTGAGGGAACAAACGTCGACTTGGACCCAAGGATGAACTGATTAGATTTTGGTGGTCAAACGTCAAGGTCACTGACTGGCAAAGGCATGCAGACGCAAGGCAGTAATTTTAGTTAGTTATTAGAATGATAGAAATTTCAGTGGGATTTGAACGAGGTTTTCTTACTGTTGGAACAGAATCCAGACATTCCAGTTTCACATGGGCTCTCTGTAGGATTAAAGGAATTAAGGATTAAGGAACAAAACATATTGAAACAGAGGTTACCGGCCAAGTTGCCCATGAGTGGGAGTTTAAATCATATCCCCTTGGAGCTAATTCAGTCTATTTTTGTTTGGATCAGAAAGAAATAACATCAAACACCTGGGCCCTGATTCTGGATCTGTTTACCTAATCTGAGAGGTTGGATAAATACAGATGACATTTCATTTACATTTAAAATATATTCAGCTTGTTATTGACTTATTATTGTCCTTTCCAGGCACAGTCAAAAGAAAAAGATGAACTGCTAAGCCATTTCTCCAAATGCAACACTTGATTAATCAAATGTAACACTGGTAATTAAAGGTATTCAGAGTCAACAAACCCAGGTCTCACCTGCAGGTTTGTTTTTCTTATAATGTCATGACCTTGTCTGACTGGTGGGTAACATAAACAGACAATGCTGATTATTTACTACCTATAGCAAATGCTGAGCATGACAGACAGTAATGGGATTTTACTTTCACTATGCAATATTATGCATGGCTGATAGAGTTTCAAGAGAAACCTGATTTATTACATGTGGAATTGCAATCAGGCCAAAAATGACCTTCTGCTCTGAGAGCACAGTCAGCTGTGTTAGTCAGCATATGATTTTTTTTGCTGTGTGTCAAGGCTGTAATAATGACATACTGTAGATGTTTGCATGAGCTGAGACTAATCATGAGCCTTATGCTCCTTGGCAGCCACATTTATGGCCTTTCAGACAAATTAAGTAAAAAAGGGCTTTGAGAAGAGGTTGAAATGACTCACAGGCGGTTTGACGTGATGGGAGCACACAAGCTGAGCATTAATGAATATACCCACGCATTTTACTCCCACAGCTAGCCTACTGTATGTGTCAGTATAATGACCCAATCTTGCAATTCATTTTCAAGCCCTGACAACTACTCACTTCATCTAAAGCCAAGGTTTTAAAACATCTTGAATGCAGTTTTTTTATTACAGAAAGTTTAAGATGGGAAATCTCTGCGGTACCACATACTCTTAAACACTATACTCATTACAAATGTCTTGAATTGAACTTGATGACACCATGTTGTGATCTCATTTGTTGTATAAATGTTTGCACACCGATGTCCCAAACTTTATTTCTAATTGCGTTATTGATGTACCTCTGTTCCCATGATAGACTGCAGCTTATCAATAATCCGAGCTGGTAGTCATAGAGCTGATACCCCATCACACACCTCTAGCTATTTACACTGCCACATGATGATTATTATGATTATTAAATCCTAGCTGATGTATTATCACCCCCAGGAACACATAGAGGTGGACTCGGCTTCAGAGTTAAACTGACTGAACAAGCGCCATTATTTAGGTGCAGCTATGTTCAAACAGAAGCAAGCCTACATTGCAATTACTCAGCTAAAAGTAACATTTAGTTGTTGTTGTTTTTTTTTGGCCATCATTGACACAGCAACACGATTAACCTGGCTACTAAGAAGCATAAGGCAGAAATGTGGCATTTCCACAGTGTGTCTGTGTGGGTTCACTTTTGACAGGAAACCTTAATTATTTGGAATCAATAATGTCCCATTAATTATTGAGCCAAAAGGAAAATCACAAACCATTAACAATGTGTAATGCATGACTGAACACTACCATTACTACTGTATGGTTTAACAAGGGGCTATACCAATACTAATACAACTGCTCAGAATAAAATAGCAATATATAGCTATGATTAGGGTTGTAGCCATTTTTATGTGCGGTCAAAGAGTCAGAGCAATCACGTATAAATGTGCTTTATAGTGACAGTCATCCAGTCAAAATGTCACAGTCTATAAATATCAATTCTGATGTTAGCATGGCTGGATTGTTATAGTTATTACCGGTTGTGCCGTTGCCACTGAGGTTTGCACACTCAAAAAATAACAAAAAATAATGAAATGGAGATGAACAGGATTGAGGCGTTTGCTGCTGTGAGTTGCTGGTGCCTCTGACATGCACTACACATTTAATTGTGGTATCATCTGCGGCTCTTTGGTATTCAGCGTTTTAGTGGGCGCAGAAAACATCACAGTGCTTTCAAATAAATCCTGATAACCTCTGATCCTATGAGAGAAAGAGGCAGAGAATTTGCCTCAGAAACCAAACTGCTTGAAGTTTCCTCTCAGTAGTTCTCTGCCTGCCTGCCTTTGATTGCAAGTTCATTCCCCGTCACTCCCCCAGTGCACCAGGGTGCATCCGGACCCTCTCAGTTTAGATCTGTTACTTGTCGTTGCATATTGATTTGTTGCTAATGTGCTGTTCTTTATCATCTGTTGGAAAATAGCTTAACAACAGTGCTTGATTTTATATAATTCACTTTTTTTTTTACTCTTAACTGATCAACTGTGAGATTTCCCCCTTCTGTAGATACTGTTTTATCACTTCCAATGTTTTTTCACTAAACCAGATATGTGGTTTATGAGCTGAGATTCTATTCCTGGCTGGGTTTTAAATAATCAGCACAATCTCAGAACATTGTGTTCATTACTCTAAATGGGGATTTTCAGAGCAAAATAGTGAGATAAATGGAACTGGTTTATCCAGGAAAATAACATTAACTCACAGATAAATGCCAGAGAACACCTTACATGAAACAGTTTTACATTAAGTGCACACTGCAGTCTGTTTATATGAAGGGTTCTACTGTAAAAATACCTGAGGTCAAGTTTAGAAAAGATTTTTCATTGAAGATATTTATAACCTTTACTTTTTTTGAATCACAGCTGATTATTTTCATATTCACGGCACATACAGGGCACATGAGAAGACTCATGTTGGAGCTGTTTAGGCTTGGTCCAGTAAATCTCAGAGATTACAGATGCTGAACAACCTCACACTGTGATCTTTAGCCAAAATCTTTAAGGAATATAGGGCATAGTCCCTAGTGTGTTATTTGTACATTCATCATTGAATTCTGAATCATGTTATCTGTTTATGGTGCATATAGCTGTAAATATAAAACTGCTTCTGTGTTAACATGGCAGTTTTTCTTAGCACTTTCTTTTTCTTTACACCCTCGGCTTGCCAGTTGTCAGACCTTTGAATCTGACACGCAGCAGACCACTGAGCTATTTTCCTTTGTGTGTTCCACATTTGCTTTGAGCAGGCAATTTACACTCTAAATGTGAGTTTCAGAGGGGTAAACATAGGATTCAGCTTGGTTATAGTCTGCCACTGCTCACAAAGATGCTTTGGAAGAAAACTCAGATTCATTATTCATCACCAGTCTATTCAGTTGAGTTTTATTTTTTAAATTATGTAGCCCTTGAGTGGATGGTGCTTGAATAGAAGTGACCTTGTAATATGACTTTCCATCTTTTGAGCTGATATTTCATCAGTGAAGTAGGTGGGTAATTCTGTTGAATTACAGCCAGGTAATGGATTCTGTGATACAGCAGACCTGGTTCTGATTCATCTGTCTATACAGTCTCTGTCATTAGATGATCATTTCATAATTGATTTGTGTGTTGATATTAGAAGAGTCAAAATTAATGTACCAGTTGATGTGATTGCTTTCATCAGGGTGGTTCATTCATTCCTTTGATTCAGTATACAGTAACCAAGCCTGCTTTCTAAGCTCTCTAAGGTTATAAATTATGATTGGTGACTTCCAGTAAGTGACCAAGGAGAGTCGGAGTTTATGGACACAGGCTGAAATCTGCAACTTCACAAATGAACCTCTTGGCCCTACAGCTGTTTCTGTAAATGTGTCTCTGCTAACCGTGTCATTGTCCATGTTTCTCTCTCTTTTTTTTAAACAATTTTCTCTGAATCTCCAGATTTTTAACGTTGTTTTTTAATCTGTCCTTCAGACTTGATCCACTGCACCAATGAGCTGAACGTCAGCATCCCCCACCTTGCAGACACACTGCTGGAGCGCACAGCCAGCAACAGCTGGATCGTGGTTTTCAAAGCGCTCATCACCACACACCACCTCATGATGTACGGCAACGAGGTGAGCTGAACACCAAAGCAGAAAAGCCCATAAAGGGCAAATACACTTATTTTTCACACACATGAGAAAATGGCTTGTCCTCTGGAACTAGGTCCATTTTAAGGTGCTGAAGACAACAACAAAGCAAGCGCTTTAAACAATCTCTTCTCATAACTTTTTGAGACTAGTCAACATAACAGAAATATAAGAATTACAAATGAGCCACAAATGTGAGTTAGTCATACAAAACTTTGGTCGGGGTGCAGTTTTGCTAAAGTAAGAAAACTACACTACACTACACGGTTATAAATATAAATAAATCTATCAGTGATTATTTCATATATTTATGCACATTCTTTATATAATTCAGGGTGTTTTAATTTATTTTTGATAGGTGTACACAGTTACACTCTAACAAGTATCTTATTCTCACATTTCAAGTTTTAGGGTGCTAAATATTAATTTGTCAATTATTAAACCAGCTGATGGACAGAAAAAAAAACATTTTAGATAATCTAATAATCACTGAAGTAATTTATCAAGACAAATGGCCAAACATTTTCTTGAAATATCACGGTACATGGAATATTTTTATGTTGTGGTTGGTTGATCAAACAAAGCAGGCAATTTGTAGAATCTATCTCCTGGGAACGTGTGATGGGAGAAATGTTTTGTCTTTTAATTATTTCATAAATCAAACATCTATAAAATAATCATCGGATTGTTCAATAATGTAATAATCATTAGTTGAATCCCTACACTAGATGGCAAACTTCCATTAGAACAGTGCACATGTGAAATGGAGTCAGTGAAACAAAGACACTTCCTGTACTGTCTAATGCTCTCTGCCTGCACACACACAATGAGAGAGAGAGTGTGATGTGGATGTTCATCTAGCATGAATTATTGACCAGTCCTGAGACTGACATTTCACTCACCAGTTTGTAGCAATTTCTCTCCAACTCTTGCAGCAAGTTTCTTTGACACCGCACCTTCCATGTTTCCAGCAAGGACTGATGAAGTATGCTGCTGACATTTCAATGGCCACCCTGACAAATTGCCTCACTCCACCGCCCCTATGACAAGAGCAACAACCAAAACATCAAACATGTTAAATGATAAGCATCTCGGACTAGAAGTGGCAGCAATTACTTCAGGCATGACGATGCACTCAAAGTAGGAGAACAACAAAGCTTTTAGTGACACGAGTAGTGACATGACGTTTAGAAAATCTGTCAGTGATGCCTAAACTGGCTTTTGCCTGGCCTGACATTTTCTATACGAGTAGAAAAACAGTGTAGTTTAAAGCACCAAGAATTGGCCTCTCTACTTCCTTAATGTGCTTTTAAAACAGGATGCCAATGGGATTTCATTTGAAGAAAGAAAGGTGTGGAATTGATAAAAGGGGCATATGTAGCTTTACTGGTGAGTTTTTTTTTGTGTGAAGGCTTAGGCAGGATGAACCAGAGCTCACCTGGACCATCAGCAATTCATATTAAAACAAGGGACATGGATGTGAAACAAGAGCCAGTGAGAGTCTAATACAGTATGTACAAGGGGATGCAATCAATTAGCATCACACCGTGTGCTGCTCGAACTGCTGCAACCTGGCAACCAAGACTCAAAAACACAAACAGATAAAAGCATATTGCAGCTGACCAGTGACCGTTTTATGGAAAGATAGAGAACGATACAATGCTCATTTGATTTTCTGCATGGTTCTGGTTGTTGTGACTATGTGAGTTTTTTGGCATCTAACTCCACCTCACACACAACAAGGGCAGCTACAGTTTTCTAAGAAGTCAAAGTGTCCATTGACCTCTGTGCAATGCTTGTAAAGATGCAGCAGCAACAAATGAACTCCTCACTTTGTGTAGCATGCACACACTCAACGCGTCCGTGGGGACATGACTCGATATTTTCAGAAAGCAGTAACAGATAAGATGCTCACTCTCTCTAATATTCTCTTCTTTTCCCATCAGAGATTGATGCAGTACCTTGCCTCCAGAAACACGCTCTTCAGCCTCAACAACTTTCTAGATAAGGCTGCACTACAAGGTGATTTAATGTCATTTGGCTGTTTGTAAACTCAGCAGTGCTATACATCTAACAAAATTACTTTATGTCAGGCTCTCCCTGGCACTGTAGCACTATTAATAAGCCTATATCAGAGCCTATTTCAAAGCCAGCAACCGTCCAGGACTGCAAAGCTAAAGACAAATGTTGTCTTTGTCTGGTAAAAGAAACTGCTGAAGCTGCTTGTTTTCAAATATATTAAAATGTAATAAAATGAATACATGAATACATGTAATAAGGTGGCCAGTTTGAAACACCAAGTACAAATAGATTGTTTGTATATGTTAGTATACGTCATATAAAAGGGATTATAGCTTTTTTTAAATCTGACTGAAAGTAGCCCAAGGTGATCCGTCTCTAACTGCAGCAACGCCTCTTATCCCACTCTGCAGGGTATAACATGTCGACTTTCATCAGACGCTACAGTCGCTACCTGAATGAAAAAGCTATGTCTTACAGACTAGCAGCCGTGGACTTCACCAAGATGAAGAGAGGGTAACAAGCCTTCACACACACGCTACTGACAAACATGGCATGACCAGTTAATGCAGAAAACCAGGTCATTCCAAAGGGTCCACGTACCTTTTCTTGCCACTGTATAGAGGGGCATTATAGTTCATTTTAACAAAAAGAGGTGACTATTATTTTCTACTCTTCAATGGGACCAGCTTCTCTATTTCAACTTTACAACAAATAGATATCCATCAGTTATCTGTACCGCTTATCCCTGAATAGGGTTGTGGGGGAGCTGGAGCCAATCCCAGCTGCCAATGGGCGAGAAGCAAGGTCCACCCTGGACAGGTTGCTGGTCGATCACAGGGCTGACACATAGACAAACAACCACACACTCACATTCACTCCTATGGGCAATTTAGAGTCACCGGTCAACCTAACCTGCATGTCGTTGGACTGTGGGAGGAAGCCGGAGTACCCGGAGAGAACCCACGCAATCACAGAGAGAACATGGACACTCCACACAGAAAGGCACCGGTCGGCCGTGGCTCTTTACAACAAATAGATATGTACCAAACAAATGTATTATTTTGCCTTAAAATAAGCCTCTTGAAATTTTGCTGAACTTTAGCTACTGTGGCCACAAAGAGCAATTATGGGATGGTAAAATCCTAAATGTTCTAATAGAAGAGAATCATCAGACCAGATCAAAAATGGCTCTAGTGGCAAAATCCTCGAGTGTACTGAACTGAGCAAGGCTGCTGCTTTGCTTGTAAATTGAACTTTTCATTTGGAGGAGAAACAATGTGTCTGTTTATTTCAGAACGTACACAAAATGTGCTCATTTCTCTGCCTTTTCTTGGTTCCAGAGGGTTGCTAAGTCCTGTGAGTATGTTGCATTTGTTTGTGTGCACATATTCTTGTGCTATTAGGGCTGACGGTGTGATGCGCACCATGAACACAGAGAAGCTGATTAAGACCCTTCCCATCATTCAGAACCAGCTGGATGCACTGCTGGATTTCCAGGTAAATGTAACAGAACCACACAAAACCTGTACCTAAAAACCGTAGCAACCACTGAAATATCTTGAGCCCATCTCTAACAGTCTCGTCTTCTTCCATCCAGCCTAACTCCAATGAGCTGACCAACGGAGTGATCAACACAGCTTTCATGTTGCTGTTTAAAGACTCCATACGGTTGTTTGCTGCTTACAATGAAGGGGTCATCAACATGCTGGGTAAACCATTACACACTACATACCAGAGTTCATCTCTACTGAGGCCACACTGTATAATATTCCTCTGATGTCGAGATCACATCACTGTGACTCCGCTCAGTCCTTTAAGGGGAAATCAATTTTTCCTCTTACTGTCTCTCAAGCCAATTAAACACTAGAAATTCCTTTCTCCCATGATTTATTACAGTGGTGAGGAGGCACAGACTGAGAACAGACCATTGGACTCTTTACTGTGAAGTTCATTAAATGATTCATTGATTAATTGGCATGATCGGGGCTGCCTCAACTATGGTTATATAGTAACTTTATGTAGAATTGATTTCATCACCATGTAGGCAGGCATATCAGGACCAGTCAATACCAGGTAGATTTATTTTTTTGCAGTTATGATTGTTTACACTTTTTAACATAATCATCTGGTATCTCAGTGCACTAAAATACACACTATAGTAAAGTTTTCCCTCTTCTCTTTTTTTTGTGCATTAATGATGATAATCTGGTGCTGATTCTGGGCTTTTTGTACACAGAAAAATACTTTGACATGAAGAAGAACCAGTGCAAAGAAGCTTTGGAGATCTACAAGACCTTTCTCAACAGGATGACCAAACTGTCCGAGTTTCTCAAAGTGGCAGAGGTAACATCTGTTCGTCCTGCTGGTCACCCACGGAGTTAAACATCAGTAGAGGGAAAATCTGTCTGGAGCAAATCTCAAAGGTCTCCTCTCCTCTTGTTTTGTATAAACATATCTAAATGTTCCATTTTTTAATTTAACCTGCAAAGAAAATCCACTTAAACCTGTTGAGATTTGCTTCAGACTCCTGTTAGCCTTGGGATCTGATTTACGGTCACCATTTTCAAACCTAAAACTGACCGTAGATCAGTGTCCAGAGGCTTCTTCTTCATAATCTTCCAAGTCTTTTTTTGCCTCTAGATTTTCTGCTGTTTCTGCCCTTCTCTTGCCCTGACCTGGGGAGGGGGTTACTCCAAGACAGTGATTAATGGCTGAGTTTTAGTTTATCAGAGAGCCACTCATATAGAGCTTCCAGCTGAGGGACCCCTCGCGTGCTGCCTGTTCACATGCCTGCACTGCATGCCCAAGCAAGCTCTTCTATCACTATCTCTGTCTCCTCTTCCTCTTATGTTATTCCCTCCCTTTTTCTAAAAAAACAGTTATACTTTTCTCTTTATAATGGCTGTTATTTAATTAACAGTTGCTAGGCTTCGCAGCGAATATCAGCAGTTTTAGACTGCGTAGCATTCCTCCGTGCACCATCTTCAAAGGCTTTCTCACACAGCTTGGTTTCGTTCCCATGTGGAAGAAGGTTTGGGGTGCGGCCGCTCAATCCAAAGAGATAAAAAAACAACAACAGACTAACGTTGACTTTAAGGATCCATTCATTTTACCTGTCTAACAAAATGTGTGTTTGTCTGTTTGTGTGTCATCCGTGTCCCTCCCTTCTCTTTCTGTTCAAAGTCAACATTAGTTGAGTGTCTTCCTTTTGGATGTTTGTGACCTCGCAGTCACATGACCTGTTGTCTGCCCTCTCTGCCCCGCCTGTTCACTTAGTCGGTGCGCTCAGCATCCATTTCAGACCATTCTCCAGATCTCAGTGTGTGTGTGTGTGTGTGTGTGTGTGTGTGTGTGTGTGTTTGCGCGCACGTGTAGTGCGTACTTATAAGTGTGTGTGTGTGTGTGTACATACAGTATACTGCATATATAGGTGTTGTATGCGTGTGCATGTGCCCTCCTCCCCTCCTCCTCTGTTGTCTTTTATTTGTTTTCCTTTCCAGCCACTGCATGAAGTAATGAATGCTTGGGTTTGATTCTTCTTTCTCCCTCCTCCTCCTCTTCCTCCTCCTCTTCCTCCTTCACACACCTCTTCCCTATTTTTAACCTGTGATCTGTTGGGTTTTTTGGTTTATTCCTTGTTTTGTTATTACATTTGGTTTATTTTTATTTTGCCTCCCCCTTTCCCCCCCGCCCTCCCTCCTTTTTTGTGACACAGCGAGTTGGGATAGATCAGGGCGACAGCCCCGATCTCACACAGGTCAGTCCACATCTCATCTCAGTCAGTCAATCAACCAGTCAGTCAACCAGTATATAAATCCGTCAAGTCAGTCCTATAATGCTTCATTCTAAATGCTCCCGTTCCCTACTCACCCTACAGACCTGCCCACACTGCAGCTGCCCCGTCCTCCTCCTCTCTTCACTCTCCTTTGCCTTTCCTCCTTTTCTGTCTGAACAGTCTAGAATAGAGAGGAAACAATAAATGAAGACCTACAAACAGCCTTGAAACATTTTTTTCTCCACAATTTTTAAGCACTAGGAATTTCAATTTTCCTCCTATGTGAATCACTGCAGAACAAATTTTGCTCTAAGGTAAGCTTTTGAAAGCAACATTTAAGCAGCTGAATATCAAATGTTTTTAGTCTCTTTTTGCATACTTCTATTTTACATGTCCATGACTGGGGCTTAGTATCTGTCTGATTTTTCCCAGCAGTCTTCCTGACATTTTCCCAGAGTAAATATCAAGGCTTGTCTCTTGATTCAAAGGCTTATTGTATAAATAATTGAGCACAGCTTTATGAAGTAGTTTTTAGCGCATATAAGCAGTGTTCAAATCATTTTCCTGAAAAGATTATGTCCCTTTGCATTAGCTGTGGGGAGAGCAGCGAATGGTTTTTATTAAATAGGTTTCTGCAAATATGACTTGGATAGGTGTATATAATGCCATCATAAGTACTGCATAGCATGCTAAAGGCCTCGAATGCAACGTATCCTTTCCAATAGACACATAATTGGATGTTTACAATTTCACAAATCAGGTAACAAACTGAAAAGGATTGCCTTTTTAAAAATTAATGTCATGTTTGTAGTGCTTATGAAGACTTTATATGCTCTTATTCAACAACATAGTGACCCATGCCTATACTGAGCTCTAGATATGTGTCTGTTTTACTTTAAAACTTTTAGCATATTCTAGATTTCTCTGAAGAAGGATATCCAGAATTCGCATTTTACTCTCTTTCCCCCTTAAAATAAGTATATGAGAAATCTTTTCTTTGCTTGTTGTGTTTGCATTGTGTTCTCTGGCGCTGAAATGTGAAGCTCTGGATGAAAACCGTGGTATCACGTGCTCAAAATGAACCCATCCATCCTTTTTGTTTTCCAACAAAGAGCGCTGACCAGCAGCTCAATGTGTATACCTGGTTTTTCACCAGATGTTTATGTTTCACTGAGTTAACATCCATGGCTTCCAGTGGGATAAAGTTGCTGCCTATTCTCCAAACTAAATCAAATGAATGATGAATTTCAATCTGATTTATAACCTAGAGTGGAATCCACGGGTTAACTCTTTGTTTTACGGATTGTGATTTTCTTTATGTGTATGCGCGTGTAGATGTGCGTGTTTATGAGAGCGTTTGTGCACTGCTGGCGTCTGCATGGGCTCGTTAGATGGTTCAGAGATGTGGCCCTGCAGCGATGATGCTCTAATCTGTCCTGACCTGTCAGTTCTTCTGTGGACTCGCTTGCATGATCCAGGGCTGATGTATGCATGCTGGTCAACCAAACCTGATGAAACCAAATGCATAAAAACAAACAAACAAACAAAAAAAAACAACCCAGAGCTGTCATAGAGTAGAGGGCAACGTCTTACTGTAATTTTGCTGCTGCTTTGTGTGTGTGTATCTACTGTAAGTGTCTGAGATAAAATGAGGAGGTGACGAGAGGGTAGTGAGAGAAAGGAATGTGTCCAACTTAGTTGTCTTGGCTGTGGTTCTAAAGTTACCCCCAAACCTCAACCCACCCAGTTCTCTCTTGGAGGCTCTGGAGCAGCATCTAGCCTCTCTGGAAGGCAGGAAGCTCAAGGACCTCTCCACAGCCAGCAGGTATGTTCAGACCACAAAGCAACTCCTCAGATCTCCTACTACTACAGATCTCAGCTCCTACTACAGCTGCTGCGTCTGTTCCTTCAGCTATTAATACTAATACTACAACTGCTGGGCTTTAGGCTACTAAAGGTCTACTCTTATCACCACTATTTCTATTATACTGCTGATCTGCTACTACTACCAGGGTTTCTGCTGTTACTACTGTATTCATATTTGTGCTCTGAGAGGAACGTCTCACCATCTGCAGGATGGATTACAGTTCACTTTGGTGTATTTTTTGTAGTCTTTAGTAATCCCCTCCATTTTGATCAGCAAAATTTCAAACTGATCGATTCATCAATGTGTTTCTTGCATTAGCCTCAGAGCCTCTAATGTTGCTGTAGATTCCTAGTCTTAAAGTTAAGGTTACAAAGTAAGTAAAAAGAGCAGTAACAAACAAAATAAAGTAATATAGCAACTGTGTAAATTCCACCAGCTTTGCAAAAATATGTGTGTGTGTGTCTCACCCGAAGATCCAGCACCTTGTCGAGCGCAGTGTCCTCTCTGTCCAGCAATGGGATCTCTCTCAGCCGTATGGACGACAAGACAGAAGACAACAGACTGCAGCAACACAAGGCGAGACATTTGCAAGTCATTCACAAGCGAAAAGCAAACTGTCTTTATTTTGTGTGAACCTTGTACACCACGGTACCCCAAGTTTTTTTTCCTTCTCCACACAGTTGTTTAAGTTGAATAGACATGTGCATTAATCCTGCAGTACAGTGAAATACACTGTCTGTTTCTGGCTGCTGGCCCATAGGGTACAGAGCTGCACAGAGAATAGAAATGAACTCACAATGCAAATAGCTTCTGCAGTGGATTGTTCATCCCAATAAAGAAGTATCCAGGACAACCTGATTTAAAAAAAACAGAAAAAAGTAATATATACACAAATGGCTAACCTACTTAAAATGAGAGATAATTGGCTTCTTTTTTGTTTTTCCAGAGAAGGTTAACACTCAGGTTGTGCCACAAAGCCGTTAACAAGCAATGGAAATATCAAACAAGATCAGTCACATTCTGTTGATGCTGTCCAAGCAGGAGGACGGACATAAGGTGGTCGACATTCAGACGCCAAATATATCGCCCAGCACCCAGTCAGTGGGCAGTGCCAACAGCAGCGGAGGGGCCACAGATCTCTTCTCCAGCTCACCCATCGTCCCCGTCAACAATCAGTGAGTCTTATATCTGCAGTCACGCACAGTGCAAACACAGAGAAAAGGGAAAGTCTTCTGTATATTATAGAAAGATTGAAGAGCTTTTATTGTTTTCTGTTTCACCTGCAAATTGCTGGCCTTTGGCTTGTTGATTCATTCCATCCCTTCACTCCAAGAGACCTTTCGCCTGGCTGTCACTATAAAAAAATTTTTCAGTGGACTTTTCTGGTTACACAAAAATAAAATGAGAAACAAATCTGTGCTCTCCGCTTACTTTTTCATCCTGCAGTGTGCCAAACCTGACCAGTGAGCTATTCACCCTGCAGCCAAACTTCTCCCCCATCCAGACCACACACACTGTGCCCAACAACAACAATGCCTGGGGAGGTAGGGCTGCATACATAACCAAACACACGCACACACACACACTAATGCAAATATACAACAAAACACGCAAATAAATGGCCACTCATTTACAGAAACAAGCAAACACACAATGCTCAGAGCTGGATCCGCTGTGACAGTGAAGTCCAGTTGCTTCATGCTCTTGACTCATTTCCCCCTTCTCCCCCTTTCATGTTACCATGGTAACTGTGGAATGTCAGGTGACCTGCTGAAACCAGCCCCGCCCACTCAAATTCACAGCCCTGGAGCCCCGTTACACTCTGGGAAAATGCTGCCCAATGATATTGACTCGTCATTAGCCAGCCTTGTTGGTAGTGAGTATACAGTTTCTCTCTCCAGATACTCATCACTCTCATTTTTCTATTGTCCTGTTCTTCTTCTTCTTCTCTCTGTTGCTTCCTTTCAGCTGATGTTGTGTGTTGTTTTCCCTTCTCCCAGACCTGCAGTTTGGGGGGACGCCAGCCAAAAAGTGAGTGGGATTTCCTGACATCCAAAACTGAGCCACAAACAAAAGTTGAGTCACAATTTCTTTTCTGCATCGTTTGCGCACCTCTAAATCCGGTATGTATGCGGGTTTGTGTGTGTGTGTGCATCAGGCCAGAGCTCCAGTGGAGTCAGCTGGTAGAGAAGAAGCCAACAGGAGGAAGTGGCTGGCAGTCTAAGACTATGTACACCAGCACCAACTGGACTCACACCGCCCATCCCATGGCGCCTGCACCCATGCCTGTCCCTCAGATGGTAAATTAAAAACCACATTCATCAAGTCTTTTTAATGGACTAGAGCTGTCCATGGTCACATGTGCACCGCGGGTATACATACTGTACAGACCAGCGACTGAAAAAATAGCATTTGTGCTGGCTTAAATCGATGGCTCAATGCAGGAAGTAAAATGTCACATATTGCCAGCAGTTACAGCTAATAGAATACATATTTCACACAGCTTGTGGTAAAATCTAAATGAAGAAGACACCGTTGTGTCTCTGCCACACTTAAAACCTGTTAAAGATTAATTATATCTCTCTGTCTCCACCACACTTGTCAGCTCATGGTGAGCTCCCATCACAGCCTCCTACGCCACCTGCTCTCCACTTAAGCAAGTTTTTCCTGCCCTTACCTTATAATGTACTGTAGGGCTGCAATTTAGGATTATTTTTAACTGAATAATCACCTAGGCTATAAAATATCAGAAAAGAGTGTCCATCACAGTTTCCCTGAATCCAAGGTGCCACCTTCAAATTGCTTATTTTGCCGCTCCAAAACCCTTTAAAATATTCAGCTTATGAAATCAGATCGAGCCAAAATTGGAAAATATTTGCCAGTTTTTGCTTGACAAATGGCTTAAATGATTAACTAGTTATCAAAATAGCTGCTGATAAATTTTCTGTCACTCAAGTAATCGATTAATTGACTAATTGTTTTGCAGTTCTGCTGTCATGAAGTAGAGAAAAACCCCAGCTGTCTCTAAATGCCACACCAATTTTATATTTATATTGATAGTACCTTGCCTGTTACTTTTAGATTTTTAACACTGAGTGCCTGTCACGGGACTAATAAATGTTTATCTTATCTAATCTAAATTGGGTGCCATCCATCATCTTATCAGTGAAGTCAGTTTCTCATTAATGATATATCTCATTCCGAATTGAAATTCATCAAATATACCTGTTGGCCAAATGCAACGTTCTGCTGCATTCGAGGCTTTTGAAGGAGATCCCAAATGTGCCTCCGTCCTTTGTGCTCCCTTCTAATTACTTACACGTCTCTTCCATTCAATCTGGTTTCATCTTTTAATTTTCGACTGATTGACCTCTCAACTCAAACCGCATATTTGTTCAGCCAGTGGCTCAGAAAGCCGGGGGCATGACTTGAATAGAAACATAGAAGTGACTGGAGCATGAGGACTGGGCAAAGGTCTAGTTTATCTTGACTGCACATTTTGAAAAAAAAGGCACAACCATGGCTTTTATTGTTGTATGAAGAACTGCATTAAAAACCTTTAATGTTTCTGTGACTCTCCACAGAACGGGATGATCTATACTGGCTATGTAAGTACATTTTTTCACTTCACCTCCCTCTTAATTTACTTTTTTAAACATCTGTGCTAAGATCCTTTTTTATTGCTGTGCTGTTGTTGCTGCTGTATTACGAGAGGAAAAACAATTCGTTTGCTGTAGTTATTACAGGTCGCCAATCTACCTCAGTTCAACTTTGTTCAGTGTTTTTGTTGCTGAGGTTTAGGCGTCTTGCTGGCAAATGTGTAACAAAGTAAGGACATTTCTGCCTTTGTTTGTCTGACAGGTTAGACGTAAAACTAGCTCAGTTTGGAAAGTGGTCTATTGTGCTTCTTTGTGTACAGGCTCCAGCACCAGTGGCTTTTCCTATGACGACACCCCAAGTGCCTGTGTATGGAATGGTAAAGAACAGTGTCCTCCAATCTACTTTCAGTCATACATTCAGAAATATTTCATTTATCCTCTGCTGGAATTGATCTACTCTGAAATAATGTTGTTGTATTCCATCCACATTGTCCTGTTTGTTCCCCACCTCGTTTGTTCTCTGCTCTCCACCTGCGCTCACCTGCCGTCTCGCCAGCTCCCTCCTCAGATGACTCATCAGATGGGAGGTATTCCCATGATGCCCCCGCAGCCTGTCATGTACAACCAGCCTGTCCTGAGACCCAACAATCCCTTTGGACCTATTCCGGGGACACAGGTAACACAAACAAACACCCACGAGTGCATACAGTATATTAGTTTATATACAACATAGTTAATGGAATAGTTTCACATTTTGGGAAATAAGCCGGTTGCTTTCTTTCCAAAAGTTACATGCATTACAAATACAAAGGCTGATACCAGACATCAGAGTGGTATCAATATTCCAATCCAACCCTCAGCAAGAAAAAAAATTGCCATATTTTCTGAAATGTTTATTTCTGTAATGATCTTTCAGATTACAGTTTATATATCTGAGCAATTTTGAATACAACATCAATGCAGTTTAATGATTAACTTCAGTTGATCTGACTATGAACTATGTTATTACAGAAGCATATGCATGAATGTAGCTTTTCTTTTAACTTACAGGGATGAATATGAGGCTCGAGTCTAATACTTTCAGATACTGTATCTCTCAGGAAGTCACAGTATATTTCTACATAAAGCTATAAAGGCTGCACTTGCTTTTATGCTTTATGCTTTGAAATGTGTAGCGCAGTAGATATAGAGTTAATGCCAGTAACGGTGGATGTTGAACCCCCCCCCCATTAAGGCAAATTTATGATTTGTGATATTGGACTATAAAAATAAAATCTTGACTTGACCAAATAAGAGTAAATAAATGTTGTCACCTCTAAATGACTGTGATAGCTTGGATGTCCTAAACTGATATAAAATCCAACAGTGTAAGAAAAACCAAGAGCAAGAACTTCCTTTAACAAAAACACACTTCATCTCTGCAAGTCTTGTGGAATAATTGATGCACTTATTCATGGCTATTCTTAACAACTGATAAGTGGCGTGCAAGCTGTGGCCCGCTCAAGAAGCAGGATGAATCATGTTGTCAAATAATTTTAAAATTGATCAGCAGGTGTGAAAAATGTTTCCCACTGCATGTAATTATCAGTTGGTAAAGCTACACAGCTCTCAAACAAGTGTATTTTGACCAATAATTCAAAATATAACAGTAATATAATTGCTTACTGAGCACTCACGCCCCCGGGAATCTGTTTTTATGGCACTGCGGCAGGTAATATGCTTGTCAATAGATGCCTAAGCACTTGATGAGGTGTTTTGTTGAACTAAATTACTCTCCATTCTCACCTCGTCCTCTGCAGATGCACTTCATGTAGGGATGATGTAACCATGGCAGCAAAGCTGAGAGAGAAGGCGAGAGGAAAGAGATGGGAAAATTGGAAGAAAACAAATCCAGAACCAAATCCAATGCAGGATGAAGAAAGACGAGCACAAAGGGGAAAAAGGAGCGGAGGAGGAGACGGGATAAAAGATGAAATGCCGATATCTGTTTCTGTGTCGCCTGACCCTCTAGTCTCCTCTCCTCTCTCCATGTGGCTACTGATCTCTCTGTCTTTGGATCAATAAAGCTGGGGGACCAGAGGCTTTGCATCAGTCCCACTCATCCCATTTGATTTTGCCAATTCAGATGACACCTCTGTGGAAGTGCAGAAGCTCTACTGCCACTTCTTGATCTCCTCATCCTGATAATTTCCTGTACAAAAATGTACCCACTTCTCTTGCCATCCCACAACTGAATCAAACTTGGAGGACACGCGTCTCTTTCTCTGATTGGATCGTTTGCTGGCACTTTACTCAGTGTGAACTTTGCCAAGGGTGTGTGTCTATGTAGGTGATGTAAGCATTTTGTTCAGATTGGTTCCTGGTTGCATCATCCATCACCTGATGTCAGAGGTAATCGATTTGAACGCGTGTGTGCGTGATCTTTTTTTCTACATTTCAGTGTGCTGCATCAACATTACTGTTTGAGTCTTTTTATGAGCTCCATTTGTTCTTAATTGCCAACTTCACATCAAGAATCTGGCATGGGGCGATACTTTGCAGGCACAATTGTGTGTGTGTGTGTGTGTGTGTATGGACGTAGCAGTGAACCTTTGTGTTTCTCTTTTGGCACCTGATGTCATTACCATGTTGCCAGATACCAATGTGTTACTGCACTGGAACTACTGATGAAAGCACTGAGCCAGACCCAGGCATCACATTTGGATGTAAACCTCTCACACTAGCTTAGCTACTCTAAGACATGCTGTACACACTCTGTGTTCTTTTCTCCCCCTCCTAAACAGCTGTGCAATATCAGGCAACCTTGTCTTTTCCACCCATCTGTAGCCTGTTTAGAAGCTGTTTCCTGCTTTAGTGTCGTACTTCTTGGATGTCCACATCAGGGTTTTTTTTTTATTGTTCTGTTATATTTGCTCTAAAATTAGTGAAAGAAATGCACTGAGAGGGAGACAGAGAGGTGACTAAATATAACTAAGGCGGCGATTCTCAGTCTTGCCAATAAGACATGGTCTGACACCCAACTGTACGAGCATTCATCCTGTCCAAAATCAGCCTCTTGTGAAGCCCTTTACACTCTATAAAAACTGGATAAGTGTAATTACTGCAAAAGACGTTTCACCTCCACTTTGAGGAACAAATGGCATTGAACATATACATGGTTAATGTAGTGTTAACGCTGGTAGACAGAACCACTAAAGGTCAGTCAGAGGAGTCAAAGCAATTGAGGTTAATGTCTGTTGACCGGGACCCTAATAATGCCGGCAGTGATGACATACACATTCATCTAGACAGCCAGAGAGGGGAAGGCTTTAATAAGATGTTAAATATTAATGGGGCTTTTTTGGGGCAGATCCAAGGTCAAGTTAGACCCACAGACAGACAATATATATACATACATACATATATGTATATATATATAGCACAAACCTTCAAAGAGGGGATAATGCTCTGCTGCACAAAAACCTAAAATCTTTGCTGGGATGTACAGTTGAAAGGGGCAATAATCAAGTTGGGATGAAGTCATTTTCTATTGATTGTTCTATGTACATGTTCTGTGTGTTTGTGTGCTCATGCCTTCCCATAGAGGAACACAGGGTCACATTCCTCGGTTAGAGATGAAAGGTCTCTAGCGAGCTGGTAGCGTGTATTAACTTAGCAGTGAGTGTTATTGTGACCGTGTCTGTCTGTAAAACACAACATTATTTTAAGGTGGCTCTGGGATCACTCATCTGCTGAAAAACGCAAAAAAGCCAAATCATCAGACCTGGAATCTCACAGTGAATCTGAGGCAAACCTCTTCATCTGCAGAGACTGATGACTTCTATCAAAGTCGTCAGAGAACTGGGACTGTATGGCGACATATTGTTACGATGACCCTTGAACTGTAACTGCTGGCTACGCAAAAACCAATCTCCCTTATAACTAGTCTACAACCAGCAGAGAGAGACTTGTGTGTGAGAAATCGTCACCACCTAGCAGGCACATATTCTCTGAGGTTTCTACATAAGAAGCCAGGTCACATTTGGATCTCTCTTTTGGAAACTTGTTTCCCTCTGCCCCATTATTCCTTGTTCCAGCGGTTTGTCTTTCTTCATCAGCTGAATGCTCTTTTCATTGTGCACTTCATTCCCACAATGCAGCTCTATCCATTCTAGGCCAACCTCTGACTGTTAGTGTGTCCTCTGTACATAGGTAATGCTGTTCATGTGTTTTTAGACGTGTTCTCTGTAAAGTGATCGAAGCCCCATTGGACGACGTACTGTACGTGGGACAATTTATTGCTGTATCTGTGTTTGAATGGTTGTATTTTGAAGGTGTCACCATCTAGGGATGGGTGGGTGAGGCTGAAGATTGTGCTCATCTGGAGGAGGAAGGGGGTCTGGTGGGGTCATGGGCAAACTCTCACAACTGGTCTATACCAAGAGTGTCTTCATTGAGAAGTGGACAGGACAAGTTCTGTCCTCTTCGAAACAGGAACATTTTTTTGCACCAAAGTCATCATCAAAGCGCAGCTTATTCTTACTCAAGGTCACTACGGATGGATATCAGAACTCAAAAGGATTTTTTGTTCTTTTATTTTTAGAGGAAAAACTTTTTTTGCATGATTAAGTGTCGTCTTTTTATTGGCTTGTGTGACCGGTAAAAGCATGACCATTGTGTGAACTCTCACTTACCGGTGTGTTTGGAAAACGTTAAGGAAATTTCTCCATGAGATTCTTTTTACTTACCTCTTGACATGAACATTCATTGACATTAACTGTTTTACAATGTAGGGTCTGTAACTGTTTGAAGGCTGCCTCGCATGCAGAAATGCAACTTGCAAGTAACCCATCAAACTTCAAACCCAGTTACCATAACCGCATCTTTGTAAAACACCATGGATGTCAATGGCAGTCATCACCTAGCTAGCTAGACATTGCAGTCTTGTAAAATTGCTCTTTATTAAAGCGTTGCTATTTTCAATACGTGTGTCGGAATGTTTGCTCCTTTTTCATGCTATGCCAGAAACATCATGGGAAGCTGTGACTGAAAGTCAAAGTACTGTAATATGTGTTTGGTCTGGTCCACATTGTGTGGTGTTTTTAACGTGTTTGCCCAGTCTTGTCCTGTCTGTTGCCATCAACTGGACTTGTTAGTTCCCAGTCATTCTCTAAAGCACAGACTGGTTTCCTAAAACCAGATTTAGATTCACTTGAAGCTGCAACTTTTGAGTCAGTTTTGTCAAACAAGGCCAGCTAGTGTACAGACCTGGACAAAAGGTTTTGAGATTGATAGCTTTCAGCTCTATTAAGTGCAGACATGTCAATTTTACATTTCAGTCATCTCTCTATACACCATATTTTTTGCACCAATAGTTTATCATAATATTCCTATTTTTTACTTTTATACCCTGCTAAATCAACATAAGGGACACAGCATTAACATTTGGGAGACTGTTCACATTATGTAATCTGGGGTTGGATTTAACAAAGCATTTCTAAAATGTTTCCACCCCAGTATCTACGTAAATAATCAGCACACAAGCTTCTACCTGCACTCTAACTTCACAGAAAAGACCAAGGAAGTAAAGTCAGGTTGTACTTACAACAATGGGTTGCTTGTAGTCTTCTATTTTCAATAATGGAAGACTCTCACTGTCTGCAGATAGTCAACAGGGATCTTTACAAAATAGACCTTTGTTTTCATCACTGAAGCTACTTCATGGACTAATCTGGTGGCTGGAAACCAGAGTTACATGTTACCACAGCAGAAACTGCATTTCCATGTTATACCAGTGAAAGGCACATGATGTCTATGCAGTTTCAGGCTCCACCCTTTGTCCATTTATGTACATAGGCCTACTAACTCATCATATCACCTCAGTATACCCTCCATATTGTGTATACTGTATTCACTACACTCAAATACTCTAGTAACCATCTGTGAACTGTTCATTGTTGTTGAGGGCATGAAACTAAGCAGTGTCCATGAAAAGGTCTTATTAGCAGGGAGTATGGTTCCATACCTTAAATGACTTCTCATTTTCTTTTTTTGTAAATCAAAGTGACTGAATTATCAACAGGTTTGGATTGTTATGAAATTATCGGTTTTTATTTCAAAAGCGTAGGTTGATGTTTTTGGAAGAAAACTGAATAAAATGTCATCTGATGCTGAGCTCTTAATAGTTATTTCATGCCTCCTCCACAAACACTTCAATAGTAATGATACGGCAATTAGTCAATACCAAAGCACTGATTCATCACTGAGTGAAACTTGCATCTTCAAATATTCACACAAAGAAGCTAAAGTTCAGTTGAAATTTATTTATTGATAAACATTTCAGAGAACATAGGACAAAATGTATTTTAAAACAAAATGATAATTTTTGTGTTCATTGTCATTCATACAAGTTCAATGTGGCATCAAAAATTGCTGTTTTGGGGGAGAGGGGGAGTTGAGCGTTGAACCAGCAACCGATCCAGAGCCAGGTTATTCAACTCTGAAATGGAGGGCCTACCAATGTGCTCTTAAACAAGGCACTTAACCCCAAAGTGGCCCCAGGGGCTCATGTACAAAAACTAAAACAACGCATCCTACCTAAATGTCCCATATCCAGCTCTGGCTGCGATTGCCTGGCACTCTTGACCAACAGGATATTAGATACGTGATGTGCCAACAACGTCTGCATCAGAAAAGGTTCAGATTTAGACTAAAATACAGATTACGTGTCCTCAAAAAATCATGGGTGTGGGGCCAGCATGTTGGGAGAAGGAATGCATGAGAACAGTAAGCTTGAGGGAAATGTAGGGATATGATGTCCCATTAAAAGGAAAAAAAAAAAAAAAGAAAAAGATGGGAGAGCAATTTCCAAAAATCTGGAATATTGACAATCAAAAATCCCTGAAGACAGACGAGGAATATAAAGTACGGAAAAGGTGCATCTGCATACGAGTGAGTTTATGAGTGTGTATGAGTGAGCTTATGAGTGTGTACACGTGTTTCGGGGAGGGGCAGGAGTGTGTGGTCTGAGTGTTTACCTTAGCGGGGGGGCACCCCATCGTCCAAAGCAGTTTCAGGCCTAACGCTGCTGTTTTCCCCATCCCACGCTACAGCTGCGTGTGGCGTACGTCCAGGGCAAGGGCTCAGTTTGGCTCCCTCCCACTCTAGCTGTAATAATCAGCAAGAGGAAGAAGGTGGCTGGAGCAGCAGCAACAACAAGGCATGCAACTAACAGTTCACATGGAGAAGGTGGAATAATGTGGAAATGTGGAGGCTATGTGTCTCTGAAACCTAATACAGCACTACCAGTTTAGGTGGCGATCAAGAAATAAGCAACTAATCTGTGATACAATCACGAACGAAACAACTACTGTAAGTCAATGAAATACAGGCGGAAATCAGGTGTGCATTAGTATCATTTGTATGTGTGCTTTACATGAGAACGCTGTTAAATGATATCTAGATACAAGTGTGGACTTGAACAGTTGTCTAGATGTGATAGGGAAGACCAGTGATCCTAGCCATGTGTCTAAATGAACTGTTTTTCTGGTGAGATCAGAAGAGGGAAAAAGAAAAGGTCATCAGCCCTTCTCACTGCTGCTCAGGGGAAAATCAGCGGCCTTTACTGAGTCCAAAACAACGTTCATATTCACCCACAGCACTGCGTGTGTCACATCATATCCACAGTCAATCCCCTACGCTACGCACACCGGCACCATGCCACTACACTGCATTTAGCAAAAAATACACTTGTAGCTGTTCTAGCTCAATTGATGAATCGCTTCTCTCCAATTTTAAGAATGTGCACTTCAAATTATATGTAACGTCTGCTTTTACAGCATGTTCAGGTCACCCACTTGTGTGCCACAGTGGCTCAACATGCTTCACTACATGCTACAAGCATCATGGTAATCCAATTTCAGCCAGACAACTCAACTGTCCTAGCTCATCTCATCTATTCGCCATCTTCACATGACGAAACACAATCACTTCACCTTATTATTAATTGTCAATATTCTTACCAAATGTTAATTGACATTGCTTTGAGATTAAAATAAAGTTTAAAGTATTTAGGAGTGCCAAATTGTACATTTTCTGGTATGAAGACTAGCACAACTTTCCCTCTAGATCACCACTGGCTTCTACTGTAAGGAGAGCTGTGACAGCAGCTGATGAAACTTGAACAAAAGCTAATGACAGAAAAGGTCAAAAACAAATTAAGTATCTCTAATTTTCAGCTTGTTTCAACATCACAGCCACTGCTCTGTCTTTTCAATCGTAATGCAAATACACACATCCAAAATCAAGGCAAACAACTGCTCATCTTCAGTCTGAAAAAACATCCAAAACCTGGCTTCAACTGAGAGTTATCATAGAAATATGTGGGGGCAATCAACTTGCTTTTCACACTGGATGCTCTGACAGCAATTCAACATACAACTGAAATAGAAAGAGAAAGAGAAAAGTGAATGACTACAAAATTATTTCAAGATTCCTTTGTCAGGACTTTACACACTGATGTTTGACCAAAAACTCTGGAAGTATATATTTAACACTTCAGAGTGGGACTTGGTTGTGTCGAAACAATGACAGCCCGAGCTAAGCAAAAAAACAAAACATACAAGCAAGGTAAATCATGGCAAACCACTCCAAGAGAACATCTAAGTCATGTATTTCAATTTCACTGCTGAAAACATCTGTTCTGTATTTATAACCTGTTGTTATCATAGTCGCATGAAAAGTTCCTTCTTAACTGTGAAACTTCAAGCAAACTCACAGACTGGTAATAAACATAAGTTAAGCGAACTCTCCCAGTTAAAACAGGATGTCTGTGTGGACTAGAAATGTACTCGAGCCACTCTTCGCACCCTGAAAACAATAGGCAGGCTCAGGAAAACTGTTGACACTAGCAGGCCAAATGCAATCAGAGGAAAAAAAACACTATGATCGACAATACATTTAATAGCCAATTCCACTAGTTGACCCGTGACTTTTGCCACACTGACTTTTCCATGTCCCAAAGCTGCAAGGGGAAAAAAAATAAGTCACCACTTTAAGCGCGAGTTGCTTCATCAGCACCAAACCTGTTCAGCACAGTAAAACTAGCCTGAAATGTATTCATAAGAATATCTGGCTAATTAACACACCAGCTTAATTTTTTACCAGTTGAAGGTTCTCGAGTAAAGGCAATTAAATCTGTCTGATGCACCACTCAAATGTCTGGACGAACACACTGGAAATTACAAAAAGGATAATGCAACAGAATTCAAAGCAAGGCCTATTACATACTCCACACAAGGTGTTCTTCAAGCTTAGAGGTACATTTAAAATTGGGCCATTGTGAAGGAATGTGTGCCTGTGCAGATCTCGATTTCCATCACTGCAAAAAAGACTAAGAAGTTAATTTTGAGTAATCTGAATACAGGTCAAGAGTACAACATTGTCAAAACAGATATAAATTGTTAGGTAATGACTGAGGAGTAGTTTTAATTTTGTACCCAACACAAAACACTGATAATGCAATTAAGAATTTAGTTTGATAAATTTTGGATTGCGCATTCTGGAATGCACCATTGAAAGAAGACTCCAAATTTGCAAACTTGAATATAGAGTATATAGGAGGCCTTGATCCAGAAAGCTTCTCTTATGAAATCCAACTCTGACCCGAGTCAAACCTTGTCACAAGAAAAATTTATGCTTTTGTATTCAACAATGAACCAGATGTTCATTCAACAGAACCAGAATGTTTCAATATAATCCAAGACTAGCTGTCTCACTCCCAACTCTATTTACTTATAATCACCCACTTAGCTCAACAGGCAGCAAATGTCAAGCAAGCTAGTTAGCCACAAGTCAGCTAAGATGTACAAAGGGGGAGATGCTTCCGAGTTAAAGCACATTTGAATTACAACCTGGCTCAATCTCTGATTTTTCTCTTGAAACGGTCCCTTATGTAAATACACATGCGCACGCGCACACACACACACCTGCAGTGGGGAAGGAGTGTATGGGGGTAGGACTATCGATAAGGGGGTTCTGGCGTGTGATAAGGGTAATCATTGCACTGGGGCATGGACTGCCCATGTGCGGGTGTCTGCTCATACGGTGTGGATGTTGTGTAGCTTCCCGCTGCTGCGTAAGCTCCTGATGAATCATATGCTCCATAGCCCCCAGATGCATCATAGCCAGCCGAGGTGTCGTAGCTTCCTGACGAGGGATCGTAGTTCCCAGATGAAGCATCATAGCTCCCCGATGAGGCGCTGTAACTTCCAGAAGCATCGTATGTTCCTGGTGGCGCATACGCTTCTGATGCAGTGTATGTTGGTGGTGCCGTGTACGTCCCTGGCGGTGCAGTGGCTGTGGTGGGGGCCTGTGTCTGTGTGGTGGCTGGGGGAGGTGGAGGAGGCGGAGGAGGATTGGTGTAGGCATACTGGAGGTACTGGTACTGTTGCTGGTACTGTTGATACTGTTGGTATTGATGCATTTGCTGGTAGTATTCTGTGTAAGACCTGGAGGGCATGATACAGTGGAAGAGGTGAGGAGGATGCAGAAGAAAGGAGCATAGAAAAAGAGTAGTCTAAAACCACATCTGACCTGAAATAAAGGAAGAGTCTGTGTTTCTTAAATGTTCCAGGTTTTTGTTATCGCTGATTTTATTAGGTGCTACGTAAATAAACTGACTGTTATCATCACAAACAGAGGAGCAGTGAACTTTTTAACAAACAGGAGCAGCTCAGCAACACACTGCAGCACTTCAATCAAACTACTGGGACAAAAAAAGACCTTGTTTCTACAAACGTGCCCATTTTGGAAAATGCTGGCCTTTTCTGGTGGTTAACACCGCAGCAGAAACGCTGTTCTCCACTGCTGCAGACGTAACGTTAACAACAAATACAACTGAGCACTCCGATTTGTTTTTCCCCTCCCCTTTACAACACACATGGCAGTTACCAAAACCAAAAACCAGCAGTAGTAGTACTCAGATTGTTTACTAGAGTAAAAATAGGAGTACTATGGAGTAAAAATAAAGTAAATGTCCTGCATTTAAAATATTACTTAAGCAGAAGTACAAAAGTATCATCAAAGCATCAAAATATAACCTAAAGTACAAATTCAAAAGTAGGGCCACTCATATGCTGACGGCCACATTTATATTATGGGGTTACAATTATTGATGCATTATTAGGTTGATCACACTTGATGCTGAAGCTGGTAAAGATGAAAATATGTTATTAGCCTTACATACCTCAGTACTTTACCTGCTGCTGGGTAGCAGTATATACTGTTAAGTACCTGGTTGTTGTTTCATAAAATCAGTTAGCTTAACAGTTTTTTAAGCTTAATTAGCAGCTTAGTTCATACCTAGCAACAGGATCTGACCCTTCAGGAGCTGTGGTGGCAGCTGCGGGATCTTCAGGTCCTCCAGGTGGTGTTGGCAGCAGGGCACGTCTTTTGGGTCGAATCTGAGCAAAGGAACCTGGAACAGGGTCAGGGAGGAGGGGGGCTCGATTTCCTCTGATTGGACTGCGGTCCCGCTCATTATCTGAAGCTGCTGCCTTTCTCCCTGCCTGCTGTTCTGCCAGAACCTTATCAGTAAATATACATAAAAGGTGCAACATTATTAGCAACAGAAATATACATGTAGACGAGCATTAAATATCCTTCAGTCAAATGGTAATATACCTTCTGTCCCTCCTGAAAGAACTTGGCTCTTGCTGCCTCAAAAAGTGTTGTTGGATCTGGCTGAGTCTGTGGCTCTACTTCTTCAACAACAGCTCCAGGATTATGATTGGCCATATCCTGGTACACCTGGTCAGCAACAGCTCCATACACCTGGCTGGCAAGAGCACCATATATCACCCCATCTGCACCTTTAGCACTTGTGATGCCTTTTAGTGCAGCATAGGTGGGGTCAAAGGATGTGGTGTTGTAGAATGAGTTGTGGACACTTTGTTGAACCTGCAAAGCAAGACAGGAGATGCCAGCATTTAAAATTTTTGGAAATGTACTCAAACCTAATGTATTTAAGAACAATAATGTGTGAGAATATGTTTTTATAAAGAATCTGTTTAAAAATATGATTCACAAGCAGTTATTTTTTTCCAAGCCTGCCTTAGTTTCTAGAGATCAATAATTAGACATTTCTCATGATAGAGGGCACCAGGCTAGAGAATGAACTTACTTGTATAGGCAGACCTGCAGCAGCAGCTGCAGCTGCAGCACACACAGAGGTGGCCGGGGAAGAAGACCCTCTCTGCCACCTGCAAAGGGAGCAGAAAACATAATGAGCATCATGAGCTGTTTACAGCATTCAATTCCATCCAGAACACAAAGTGGATCCCTCTTTCTCCACCTGTTGTTACATTACCAGGTGGGTTGGCTGAATTTCCAGCTGCTACAATCTGGTTGATCAAAGGCTGAGTCTTGGACAGCTCTACAGCCAACTGACGGCCCTTAAACGTAGTCCCATTGAGCGCCTCAATAGCTGTCACGGCATCCTCTTTTCTCTCCATATGCACAAATGCATAGCCAACATTTGAGCATAATCTGGCTGTACAGTATATATGAAGCAGAAAATCAGTATTAGCAAGAGACAATATAAAATGTGTGAAACTGTGCTCCCAGAAAGACTTGATTAAAGTTAAAACATTGTAATATCAAAATGGTTACCTTGCACTAGACTCAAGCAAACTGGCTTCGGTTCAGACTTTACTATCTTTAAAATCGGGCTCAAAGTTTTCATGTACATATATTTGTGTTGTACCAGTAAGTATTGGTGATTAACTTTCTAACTCACCCTTGACTTTATCACAGTCTAAAACTCTTCCAAAGGTTGAGAACAGCCCATGCAAGTCATCTGCTGAACATGTTGCGCTGAGGTTCCCCACAAATACTTTAGTGGAGTTGGGTGGGCGTGCACGTGACTCTTCCACCACCAGGGGCCTGCCTCTGTACTCTTTGCCATCAAGATGCCGTATAGCCCTGTGAAGGTAAGAAAGAATTACCTTCTTCATCAGGTGTACACCAGAAAACACCAACAGTAATATTACTGACATTTTACCTGAGGTTAAAAATAAAATTTATAAAACAAATGTACAGACTAAATTGCAGCAAATTCATACCAGCCAAATGCTGCCAATGTTACCTTTACATGTACCTTTATATTTTACTGGGAATTACATGCATCTAAGCAAGGTTTCATAATCCTTTTGCTATTCTGCTGTGGTCAAGTTCTTAATTTTTATTGCCCAAATAACCTGTAAAATTATTCTGATGTCTCAAAGTTTTTTTAAGATACTACAGCACCTTACTTAAAAAGCCTGTCAGTTCTATTATGAAAGCCTAGACTTTTATGAAGTTCTTAGATTTTTTTTTTTCTCATTTGATTCAAGTCTGTCAGGGCATTTTTTATTAGAATACCAGGTGTATTTTGTTAGCATTAAGAGACAGCTAGCTAACCCAGGTTTTTGACTTTTGCTTTTTATGCTTCAGACACCATGCCCCTTTGCAGTAATAACAAGGTTGCTGTACAACGATAATGGCTAAATCTATTTTAGGTTTCTATTAGAGAAATATTAAGCAAAGAAGTGTCCATCTTACAAAAGAATGTAAGCTTAGATTAAGATTCCTAGTTACTGGTTTAGCTACATTGGAAAGTTCTTTCCATTTATAGTTCAAATTTATATGCTTGTAACTTGAAACATCTGTAACATAGTAACACTGGTGCATCATTATATTCTTAAGATATATATATATATATGAATATTTTCTGAACAGCAATTCATTCATCTTGTATTAAAAATAATATTGGAAAGCTGAATACCTGTCTGCTGCCCCCTCTCCCTTCAGGGTAACGAAGGCATACTGTCTGAGCAAGGAACAGGTGTTGATCTCTCCATATGGAGCAAATAGCTTGTTCAGCTCGTCGTGAGTTGCATCTAAGGGCAGATTCCCGACAAACAACTTCACGTTCTCACCGCTCATCTCGGTATCAACCAGACATCTACAAAAGAGTAAACAGGATACATCGATTATTAGAACAGGGTATCTTTAATGTCACTGCACAAGTTTGGGTAAATTGACGTTACACTAATTAATTATTAACTTGTGGATCTAACTTAATGTTAAATTGAGGCGCTCGTTTAGACAAAATTACGAATAGCTGCTTGTTGCTGATTTTATTCGGTGGAAGTGATACTGTTAAATTAGGTTACTATACAAAAATGGAAGTAACGTTATAACTACCACTGACATCTCGTGAGATGTGCCTGCTATTAGCTAGTAAGGTATTGTTAGCTAAGCTAACCGATAAGCTAATAATACAGCTAGCTAATCTTCGCGGCGAAAACTGATCAAGTACAGCTAAGAGCAGGCTGCGGACTGCTAGATTAGCTAATACCAGATAAACAAAGCATAACGAGTAACATAAAATTCAGCCCTAGGTACACAACAAACAGCCAAAAGTACAGACAGTACAGGTCGTCTTGTTGAACGCCAGCATGAACGATGTAGCTAGCTAGCCTTAGCTATGCTAACTAGCTAATGCTAACGCAGTGTTGCTGCGTTGAGTTGTGGAAACGTCTGCTAAAGCTAGATTATTTTCACTAGTATGAGTTACTGTAAAATATAATAACTAATCCTGATGCGTTTTAAATTTTGTACCAAACAAAAGGAAAAGCATTAATTCTGCCAGAAGAGTACAGAGACTTCTTACCCAACGCGGTCCTGGAGCTGTTATATTTCAAACGTCACATCCGGCTCCGGTTTCTTGAGGAGCAGTGGCAGCCACGGAGGCGTAATTTGGCTTTTCCCAAGGCGGTTCATGACATATAACAAAATCATAAAATATATGTATATCATAACATGCATTTATGTCTTTGTTATTATATTTTGAGTTGTGCATAATGTTATTTAGCTAACATACAAAGTATACTGCTACATTACAAATTATAGTTAGGCCTACATTAACAAGAACTATTAGTTAATGTTATTGTTATTATTATTACTTTATTATTATAGTTATTAATAATAGCTGTAAGACTGTCGCTCGTCCTATGATAGTTAAGTAAAATTACAATACCACGTGTGCCTAGCTCCAGCCCATAAGGATTGTTACATATTTGTTTCCAGGTGAGATCAGGTGAGAGAGGGAGGAGGAGCCATATATACACCTCCAGGTCTGGGAGCACACGTCATGACAGGCCACAGTGGAAGAGAAGTTGACTGATCGTAGTGAACTTGATGGACGAATAATGAGCGTTGAGCCGGAGGGGATAAAACACATAGAGGTAAATAAATGACACTCGCAGGATACAAACGATCTTAAGTAACAAGTTGTGATTGTACGGCAGAAACCCGGAAGAAATGTTTAACAGGAAGGCTCGCTGTGGATCCAGGCAGATTGCATTCAGAGGGCAGGCTTTAAACAGAAAAATACATGTTTTACATGTTCAGAAAAATAATTTATGTCAATGTCGGTTGCCTTTATTTTATTTATTTATCTTTGTTACATTTTTAATGTCACCTTCTGTGCAGTTTGTTTGTTCTATTTGTGCTCCATTTTATTTCATTTAAATTCTGTCTGAGGTGCTGTACTTTACCAAGTCTGGGCTTGCTGTTGCAATCCAGGCAGATCTATTTTGCATGTGTGTGTGTGTGTGTGTGTGCGTGTGCGCCGCAATCCCACCCATCTTCCTGTTGAATGTGATCACAAAGCTATATAATAACCACCTGTAGGTGACAAATTAAAGGAAACATCAGTATAAAGTGCCTTAGTACGGTGTTGAGCCATCAGAACAGTTTCAGTTCACCTTGGCATTGACTCTACAAGTCTCTGAACTCTACTAGAGGGATGAAAACCATTCTTCTAAAAGATATTCCCTCATTTGGTGTTTTGGTGAAGTTGTGAAGACGCTGACTAACATATTGATCCACAATCTCCTGTAGGTGTTCAACAGGGCTGAGATATGGTGACTGTGAAGGCTGTAGCATCTGATTCACATAATTTTCATACTCGTCAAACCATTAGGTGACCCCTCATGCCATATGGATGGGTGGGGGGGGGCAGCTGATTTCGTTTGATTTATCAGCCATCTGTATATGAATACATGCTCAGGTACTGGGCAACTAATAACCATGTGGTGTGTGTGCGTGTGTGTGTAGATGGCACAGCAAGAAGAACCTCTGTATGATTTCCCAGAGCCCATCCCATCATCAAAGCGCAAGTTCTTGGGGCATCAAAGATGTGGCTCTTTGAAAAGCATCACCATACTGGACCGCCTTCTGCTCACAGTTCCTGTCTGGCTTCAGCTGTCAATCAATCCTGCCACTGCATTGCACATACTGCGGCAAGAGCCTCCTGGGGTCAGATACACACATACAGTACACATTAAAGAAAATCACAAGTACACTATTTGTTATTATGTACACACATAACTCCATATACAATGTTTCTCTCATGCCTTCTTTTTCCATGTCCAATGCACTTTGGACTTTTGGACACTTTGCAGTCATTAATCAGTTGGGTTGTCCTGCAGACATTCCTGGTGCGTAAGTCCCGCACGTTCCAGAGAAATGTGCTGTGTGTGCGTTTGGCAGATGACGTTATGCTATCCTTCGTTCAGCAGTTTGGCATCAGGGAGGAAGACTCCAGTAAGCCTGCACCCACACTAGTTTTAAATACAGTATGTGATTCCTGTGTCCCATGGCAAACAAACATCAGAACAAACATCCCACATTAAAACCAACTCTGCCTTCTTTGAAACAGAAATTTATAAACACAGCAGAGCAATTACACATCAAGATAACATGTTAAAACATAACAACTGTATTTCATATATATATATATCATTTGAATTAAATTGTACATTGAGTCAAGCTTGTTTGAGTCCATTGTTTTAGCTACTTATCAAATATATATACTTACAGTATTAAAATGCATGAAAAACTACTTTGATTATTTTAGCAGTGTAAAGAGGTTAACTTCAAATTTGATCACCAGTTGAAAAGAGAATATTAATTTTTTGTACTGTACGATACTGCCAACCATTTAATAAAGTAACATATTTTTCCATTTACATGTAAGTCTCTGAAACTTAATATTTGTACTGAAATGATCAGGATCCAGTAGCAAACACTGGGTACCTGGAATGCAGGAAATCAATTTCTGGTTAATAAAATGGTTGGTGGAACTATACCCAGTGTTAATTATAAGCTAAACCATATAAAGGATCTTGACACGTGTGGCCTTCTGAGCACAAGCACAAGAAATTTTCTCTGTTTAAAGTATTTTAATTAATTGTACTTCCCCCAGATAATCTAAAAAAATATGAACCCAGAGGTAATACAGCCACACTGTTCTTATTAACTTCCCTTCTTCATCTCCAAAATAATGTCTGCACCTTTACATCTTTGCCCCCAGCTCTGTCTCTGGAGACATCAGCCATCAGCTTTCCAGATCTCCCAAGACTAATTTCCTTCTACTGTGTCAGCAGGTAAAATCTTGTCCTCCTCACTCTCATTTTATTTGACTGTTCTCTATTAGTATCACCTTTATTATCTCTTTTTCCATAAACTCTTTTTTGTTTGGTTACTTGTTTCACCTTCTTACCTTCTCTCCCTCAGTGTTGTCAGCTTTTTGTATTACAGTTTGTGATTTTCTGGGGAGATGAGGGAGATTTTGCCCCTCTTGTCTATATGTCTCTGCTGAATTAGTTTTCTCTTCCCCCTCCTCATAATGATTAATGCTACTTTATCAAAAGAACTTATAAAATAAAAATATTTTTTAAAATAGACTTACATCTAAAGTGCTGCAATGTAATTACACTCTATAATGCAAACAACAATAAAACCAGAAACTGACTATCAATGTCAGTGCTTGCTGTTGTGTAACAATAGAGATGACACCGTAGCTACGTGATTATCCTGTTTCCATGGTCTTGATCCATGCACAGCTTTTCAGAATGGGATTAATTTTAATAAAGTTCTTAATTAGTCTATAAAAGTTGCTTTAACAGCTGCAAACAACAACAACAAAACAAACAAACAAAAAACAGGCTTCACTGTCTAAACCTACTGTAGCCCATAGGCCAGCTGTGGTTCTTTTTTTTCACAAATTGCACCATGTATCTACATTAAATACTGTCAATATTTAGTGATTTGCAAGAAGTAATGATGGTGTAAATATTATATATTGTCTGTGTATGTCAGAGATGTATTGCCTTTTCCTCTGGAGCTTCCTGAAGCCATTGCAAAGGCAACATCCCACAAAGAGCTGGAGTCCATCTCACATATGGGAATAGGTTGGTGAACACTGCTTATTTTCTGATAGCAGATTTTGTAACCTCAACATCAAATACCTGGGTCTTATAGGATTTAAACATACTGTAATTACCTCACAGATGCTGGGTAACAAAAACAAACAGGAAAAAAATTGTGTGTAGGTTTTTCCTCTTGCCCAGTTTATATGCCAACAAATATAGTACTTTTAATTACTTTTTATTTATTTATATTTTGCACATTTGTATTAAGATATTCATTCTTTATTTGTAAAGTTGATGAAATTATCAAAATTCCAAAGGAACGTACAGTGATAGGTAAAAAAAAAAGACCAATTAAGCAAAAATCCGAGTTTGACTACAAGAATAAACATCTGTGTTGTTTTCTAGAATTTTGGAGTTCCCACTTAAATGTCCGTGGGCCACGGGAGGCACCTAAGCCCCAAAAGGATGAGGAGAAGAAACCAGATGGTGTGACCTCAGCCCCACCCGCTGCTGCTCCACAGACGAGCTCTGATTCAGCTCCCCTGCCTGACTCAGACCACCAGCTTCAGACAGTACCTGAAACAGACATTGCCACCAAACAATCAGCACCTACTCCCACTGTGTTCCACCAGTTCTGTCCAATCACAACACGCAGCCCAAGAGAGCTGGACTGTGGCTCCAGGCAGGGTGCTCTCGGTTTCCTCAACCCACTTTTCCCACAGTCTCGGAATACTTTGTCCAGACAACGCATGTTCAAACACAGCATCAAGGTGCGAGTTTCCACTGAGACCTCAACTTTGCTGTCACCCCCGCTTGCTCCACCACCTCCACCACCTCTAATGCCCAAAAGAAAGGGGAGATGTAAAGCCCAGAAACCAGAAGAAGGAACCAGCCAATCCAGTAAAGGCCTAGGCCTTTTACTGTGCTCCCAGTCTCCATCAGTGGCGACTCAGTTTGTGCCTGAGATGCAGAGACAGGGCCAAGAACAGAAGGAATCAGACCAGACTCAAGTTGAAGTCAAGGTAGTGGAAGCTACACCTCAGCTGCCAGCAATAGTAGAACATGTTGCAGAAGAGTCAGACTACCTTCAACCATCTACATTGATCAGTTTCTCACATGCTTCCACTCCTGCTTCTTACCTCTCCCCATTTGTTTCTTCCATAGCAGCTTACCTTTTCCTCAAAGTGTCTCCACCCCTCTCTCCTCACAACTCTCCCACTGTTTCTCCCTCTCTCTCGCCTTATCAATCCCCATCACTTTCTCCCAAGGTCACCTCTTCTCCCTTTCCATGTGACTCAGCCAGTGCTTCGCCCTCTCATTCGCCTTATCAGTCCCCATCTCTTTCTCCTAAAGCCCCCTCCCTCCCTTCTCCATCCCTCTCTCAGGTGGCAGAACAGACTTATCACACACCTGCTACTCCTTCAAGACCACATCAGCAAAGATCAGAGAGAGAGGCTGAGGACGAGGGAGCAGGTGCAAATGAAAATAAGGATGAAGATGATGAAATAACTGAGGAACTGCAGGAAAAGGAGGAGGGGGAAGATGGTCTGGTTTTACAGATGAATACTGCTTCTCTGAATGGCACTGACAGCTGCAGTTCCTTCAGCAGACTTGAGGGGGCAGCAGAGACTCCACCTTACTCAGCCCACAATCAGGACTATGGTACAAGCCTCTAGTGAACAAATATTTTAGAATGTAACTAAACTGCAATATGTAGTATCATGAAGCACTGTTTAGAATTACAGATGACTGGTTTGCTCAAGAACAAAGCAGTACATTAAATTGTTTTTTAGTACAAAACCCAAAATGTACAGGCCATACTGTTTTGCAGGTTTCACATATCTTTTTTTTAAATTATGCTCTTTATTTTCCAAAGCATATAGTACTGTTTTGATATTTCCTACCTAACAGGACATGTAGGTCATCCCTCACAATCACAATTACTCTTAATTTCCTTTGTTTTTTGCAACAAAATTAAAAATAAAATTTAATTTTCATTATTGTAATATCGTTAGTGTTCTGTTGTTGGTTTATTTTCAAACAGCTTTGCAATCAGAATTATTTTTTTGTATTCCAAACAGTAGAACAATCATAGAACAATGGGTAAACATAAAATAGGATGACGTGAATAAATCTGTTTCTACGGTTCAGCTGTTGCTGTGGAGCATCAAATAAGAGGTTCTTGGAGCGACAAAAGTGGTTTGGATTAGAGACAATTATAGGTTCCTGTGGGAGAAAATTTTAAATTGTACACAGTCATATGTTTGTACAGGATTTTGAGTTGTGGAATCCTACTTTGATAGAAAACTACCACTAGTGCCATCTACTGTGACATAATGGTAAAAGTTGAAATTTCAGAGCCACCCAGTTGAAACACCCTGTTGAACCACCAGGTCTATTTTTTAATCTTATTAAAATATACTGAAAGTCAGTCTCAGCTTTTGAGTGAATTTCATAAAAATGAAACAGGTTTTAAGACTTCATTAAACTTATTTTATTTGTGCAGATCCAACACTACATTTTCTTTTAGACATTCCAGACACTGCAGTTTATCACACAATCAAGTAAATCTGTGACAGCTTCATACTATACCTGGCAAAAAATAGCATCAAGTATTATTTTACCTTACAGTCAACATTAGGTTCTCACAGCAGCTACTTTAAAGCTGTCAATCATCAACATCAAGGCTGGTCAAACATTTGACTTAATGAGCAAGCTACAGAGATGGAGTAATTTTTAGCCTCATATTTCACAGTGATCATTCTGTCAAGATTTGTGAAACCAATATTTTACCTTGTCACAATTAAAAAGTGAAAACCAGCTACAGTTACTTCCACATGCCTTTATATGTCACTGACAAGTAGCATTGGTTTAATGGTGAGTTTGTTATTTACCATTACAAAATATGTTTCCAAAATGTTTCTGAAAGTGTGATGTGTCATACTAATTAGCTCATTTATTTGTAATTGATCCAATTAGCAAAGACAGACCTGAAACTTAAAGAAAAATTGTGGCTGGTGTCTTTGGCAGTTGTGTTGTTGTCTTATGGCTTCACCTGAAGTATAAAACCTTGAAAGGATTTGAATCACTTCGGTTTTGTGTTTTAACGTCTATTGAGAATCACTTTGCAATCACATAAGGTTGAAAGTCTGATGTCAGTCGGTATTTTTGAAGCAGATTTCCATTAACACCAGCAGGGTGCGTCTCTTTTGCTCAGCTCCAAAAGGTCAGCCTCCAGCTGCTCTGCATCATCTTGGAAGCGCTCAGTAAAGGACTGAATCAAACCAGCTGCACTGCCTTCGTATTCCAGCAGCTCTACACTGTCGCCTGTAAACCACACACAGTCAGACTCAAACAGAATAATTAACTCAAGGCTACAGTTACAGTCCAAGTACAAAATTTTGAACAGCAAAATGTTTTTTACTGGTATTTGTTGTTTTGATCATTTAACACAGCTAAGTCTCCATTACCGGTGAAGTATCGCTAGAGCTTACAGATGAGCTAATCAACTCCATAGTTCTTTGAGTGCTGTTTTGTTGGAATTTATTCCTGTAATCTTTCAAATCAAATCTTTTTTTACTAAAATCAAAATGTTTAGGACTATGGTGGCAGAGAAATGACCACACTCTACAGGTGCAGTCACATTACCCTTCTGTTCCATGATTTTGCCACAAATTTGGCTCCAAAAAAGGACATGATGTTAGATTTCTTATTAAGGTAAATAAATATTGATCAAAGCACTGACAAACTGTAAACACTATTTAAGAGCCATGCTACAGTTTGTATACTGTGATAAAACAACTTCTCCACCTCTTAACACAGTACATCAATGTCTCTATTGGCTGACCAAGCGCAACCAAATGGAAATGTACCATAAGTGTATGTGAAGGTGGAGTATTACGCCAACTGTCATATAGTGGGGGTAGACCTGATAACCATTTAAAAAATCAGGATAAAAACGCCACATTTACAGTCTGATGACAGAAGCGTTTTGACAAACTATAGAGCCAAATGAATTTCCAGGTTTTAGTGACTGTGCTACTAGTGATGGTAGAATAAAGACTGATGTGCATATGCATTTGTATACATGAATCTGTGTTAAACCTGAGAGAATCCCCACAACAACAGATAAAGGTACATACCACTGACTCTGGTATTGGCCTGGACAAACATCTTACGATCTTCCTTCCTTAGCAGGACTGTCTCCCGCAGTCGCAAGAAGTTGTGAGCGCCGCTGTCACCGACAGTGGAGTAGCTGTCATACAGAGCTCTTCCTCCTTCCACATCCGCTGTGGATTTAAAGACCTACAAAGCAGTGGAATCAGGTTAAGCAGGGTTACCATACACAGGGCTTATTAACAAGAATATTCACTTCACTTGACTCATGAATACAGTTTTCTCCTAAACGATAGGTATCACTGCTGAGAAAAACACAATCTACACCATTGGAATAGCAGTAGAAGAAGAAATCCATAGGAAATACATTCTATAGCTAAGTAGCCGGCTAGCTAGCCAGCAGATATCAAACCCAGAGAACAGCTGAATGAATGCTCATGTGGTAGATGGCGTATTTCAGCTTTCTACACAACCAGCACACCAAACCATAGATGTCTGTATATGGCGTATTGAATGTCTGGAGAGATGGACCTGCTCACACACTCTTGCCCCCAGTTCGTCCATTTCCTGTTTGGTGAACTTCAAGTTAGAAAAACTGAGGTGTGACCTGGGAAAATGACATCAATACACACCACGCGCCAGCAGGTGTGACATCATTTTTGGCACCAGGCACACAGGTGTGACCGGTGAGAATAAACTAAGTGTTACTGTACAGCACTGCCACACCACAGTCACACAATACAGTAATGGCAATAAATGGAAAAAAAATGAAAAATTTAAAAGAGCAAATTAATTAAAAACTAAACAAATTAATCAAAGTGCATGCAGCAAGTTGGTTATTTTGATGTTTTGTTCATGTAAAGTTCAATGTTATATAAAATAAAGACTGCAACTAACAGTTCAACTTATTATTGGTTATACTGAATATTTTTTTAATGTAACCATATATTCTTTGCTCTATAAAACATTAAAAAAAAACTGTAAAAGATGTCCATCAGTTTCAAAGTCGTCAAGTACACCCAAGAGATCAAAATGCTAATATATTATATTTACTATTATATGACTTAAAAAAAACAGCAAACCCTTCCAAAGCTAGAACAATTTCTTTTTGTTTCTGCTCTAATTTTAATAAAAAGGAATGACAAGTGGTGTATTAATGTAATGAAATTCCTGTGCATCTTCACTGTGTGTTTTTCTTTTGCTGCCTGGGCAACTGGAAAAGTACAGATATAGATCTACCTGCAGTTTACAAAGGAACCTGTGGATGGCACTTTTCCCCACAGTGTGGATCTTGCTTCGGTCCAGTGTGATTCGAATGTCAGGCTTGCCGTCCTGTCCGGTCACTTCCTCCAGGCCCACCAGGCCCTCCCCAGCCTCCAGCAGTACACGCAGGATCACAAAACGAGCCTGCATGTGAGCCTGAGACAGACGCACATACCCATGACAAACACTGTATACACCTCCTGACACTCATGTAAACACCGAGGCAGAGTTAATATAAGCTGTGTTATAACACGACACTGATAGGTGGAAGTGAGCCAGTCAGGTTGTACAAAACGCATGGTTAATAGCTGCATGTTGACTCATCTTGTAAACACTGCTCACCCAACACTGTGTATCTCAAGTTCTGTACACCTGAAATTTATGATTCATTACTTGCACGCTGAAAACCAGGGCCTGCAATCTTGGATGTAAGTGACAGGTAAAAGTTCACTTTTACTCCTGCTCCCAAATGTAAGAATAAAGGTTATTTTTAAAACTTCTTCTGACATAAAAATACACAGCAGTCCTTGATGGCCACTGTCCAAAAACAGACCAGAGCACATCTGTTTTCTGACAGTAAATTAACAATATATTATGTGAAGCAATACAAGTAGGAATAGAATAATTTTGGTTTATTTTTTGTATCTGAACATTTGACTGGATGTTACATCTTTTTTTAATCTCTTTTTTAGCATTTATCAGCAGTACAGATAAACATCAAAACTATATCTGACACTGATGTTATTTACAATGATTGTCTAACAAGCAGCATTTAGTTTCTATTTCAGCCAATTTCCTAGAATTTATGTATTCATACATTATAAATATTAGATTGTTTCCCATGTTAATTACTGCAGAGCGTTGAAGATTTGACAAAAATAAAGAAACAGGATTAAATGAGTTTTTTTAAAAGGACCTTATGACTGTAAAATATGTCAGATATAAGGTCAGTCTGTATCTCTGAGCATACAGAGGGTACGGAAAGTATTCAGACCCCCTTAAATTTTTCACTCTTTGTTATATTGCAGCCATATGCTAAAATCATTTAAGTTTGATTTGATTTGATTTATTCATTCAAGCATGTAAAACAGTTGATATGTCAACACATGTAATTTCACACATATCCAACAATAATAATCCAATATCAATTTACTTATACCTAGTACATGCTTGAACGGAGTAGGAAGAAGTTAGACTTATCTAGTCCTACCCCATGACATCATCTTACAACATTTAAGTCCTAAGCAGTATCTCTACATAAATAATTATCCTCTACACCACACAAGTAATATACTATTGCATATATCTTGATTGACACATACCTTTATACTTATGTTTAAACTCATCAATTCTATTACTATTTTTTATGTCCACATTTAAATTATTCCATAGTTTTACACCACCACCAGTTTTTCTTTTTTAATAAATCTGCAAAAAAGTCAAACATTCTGTGTTTTTCTGTCAATATGGGGTGCTGTGTGTACATTAATGAGGAAAAAAATGAACTTAAATGATTTTAGCATATGGCTGCAATATAACAAAGAGTGAAAAATTTAAGGGGGTCTGAATACTTTCCGTACCCACTGTACATGTGACCCGTCACGTAGCCACTTCAACTTTGCTCTTCCAAGTAGGAGTAAGTCACTTGATTAATGAGTGTCAGTGCCAAAACTAAGGAACTTCTTTACAGCGAAATTCCTGGAAGTTTGATAAATACCGGCCAAGTAAAGACGAGGACAGGCAGCATGGAGAGAGAAACAAGCAAGCAGGTGGATTACCTGTCTCCAGCTCTTGGTCTCAGGTGTGTAAAACTCCAGGCCCAACAGTCCAGCTCTAACCATACTGAGCCAGTTGATATACACCACATCCTCTGCATCCTGACCTTCAAGGCCAAAAATACTGGAACACACACAACCAACAACAACAACAGCATTAAACATACTGACTTCCCTCACTTACATCAGCCACATATCACTTAAGGTTAATGAGCATCATTTTAAACCGGCCTTAATGATGAGATGCATCATTCTCTCTGAAATGTCATCAGTGAAGAATGTGCATGACTAATGGTCACAGAACACAGTGTCGCCTGTACTGAGCCAGCTAGAGGCAAAAGCAAGCTAAGCAGCTGAACTCCCACACAACCTAAAAATACACTACTATTCTTCAAGTTCCTCTATTAATGTGTTTGGCTAGTAAGTTACATACTTTATGACAGCTCCCAAATCCCCAAGACCCAAATCTGAGGGATCTACTGGGTTAGGTGGCAAAAACAACCACGAGGACTAAAACAAACTCTGCAAAGTTTTTAGAGTACCCTTTAAGTCTTTAATAAGTAAAATCTGTATTTAAAACTATAAAAATCCCTCTTCATTCTGCAGCAGGAGTGATGCAGTCTTAAAATTTAAATCAAGGCCCTCATTCAATTTCTATTCCAGCATCAAACTATGGAAGAATAAGACACTCAGTGTATGACGTACCTGAGCACTTGCTTGTTGAAGCACAGATAGAGTCCAACACACTCAGCACGGCATTCTTCATAAGAGGAAGCAATCGTGGAGAATTTACTGTCCCAGGTCTCACTGCCCTGGTACCAGCTGGACACCTAAAGGATTCACTCACACCATTAGTCACACTAACTCTTATTTACCACTTGAATGCTGTTAAAAACAGGTAGACAATACACAAACTCACTGATTCTCCAGTTTCTGGGTTGATCACCTTACTCTGGTCAAAGTTGAACTTGCCTCTGTCATCCTGTAGGAAGATACATAGGACATACAGCAGAGTAATATTAAAAAAAAAAAAACTCTACTCAGATTAGATTTCTTCACTGACTGTTCAATATCAGTAAATGAAAAGCACATTAACTAAGATTTTACACATTGATAAATCAATTAAAAAAGGGACAGGATGTGGCGTCTCTTAGCTATACTACCCCCCTCCGTGACACTCTAGTGCCTACAGCGCTTCTGATGTAATTCCAGCTTCTCTACCCTGTGATGTCAGAATATAGTCCACACATTAGCCCAGCCTGCCACCTAGCAAAGGATATAAGAACCATTTTTTAGAACCGACAATAGTCATTTCAAACAGCCAGCCATGGAGGAGCTCTCGTCTGCTAAAAGTCTGAAGCAGTGGCTGCCAGAATGAAGAGGTGGCGTTCTTTTGCACAGAGTGGGACAAACAAAGAGTAAAATCCAGGGTTAATATCAGTTTTCCTTTTTGAGATGGAGTTTTAAAAGCAGCAAAAACACTCAAATTTGTATGCCAACACCAGCTTCAAACTCCATGTTTGTCACAACCAGACATCCATAGTTTGCATCATCACTATGAAACAAGGTGTGATGGGAGGGGCAAAGACCGTGTAGTGGTTAAAAATAAACAAGGTTTCAGAGGTAACAGTATGTAGTTCATATTTAGATATTATTTGTGATAGTTGTGTAAGGATGTAAGGCTGAGCTAAGTGTGTATGGAAGCTTCATCTGTTTCTGGAGCAGGCAAGAATATCTTGGGCCGTGTCCCCCTTGTTTAACCTATGGGTCAACATCCCGAGTGACTTCCTCCTCAGATAGGGAATGGATATACTGTAGCCTTATGTGAACCGTTTGTGTGCCCTGTTCAGGTTTAGAAAAAGGAAATGTGCGCTAGGTCAATGCGACCTACTGTAGATGTTCATGTACTGGACAGCTTAGGCAATGCTCGGAAGAAGGTGTGTGGGTAGCTGGCATGGGACCGCGTCTTCATGGCTCAGGCCATGGAGGGCTGTGTAATTGCGAGCAGATAAAAAGCTGGGTTAGAGCAGAAGAAGGAGAGAGGATGACAATGCTACTGTGACAGGGAGAGTATACTTTGTGGGGGGACGCTGACCCAGCTGGCTGGGGGGACGCTGAATTAAGACTGACAACTGACTGTGGGTTGACAAAGACTGACTCGTGACTAACAACAACTGACTGGACTGACGCTTTTGACAATCTTCTTATTTAATGCTTTATCTATCACATTGCAGGAGGAGAGTCTCTGTTCTCTGTTTCCCTAACTACAAGATTATCTGTTTAAATATTACTCTATTCAGAATAATTGCAATATTAAATGATCCTTAAAATTGGGATGGTTTGTCTGAATTAATTTAGTCGGCATCACACTCTAACCATGAGTTACAAGCAGCTTATGGAGTTCATTTGCTGTGAGCCTCACTAAACCCTCTAGCCTGAAAAGACATAAGGTAGAGTAGCTTTAAACATCTTAACAGGAAGAAATAAATGAAATCCTGATTACATATTAAAATTAGTTTACACTTAACCAGAGCCAGTAAAAGGATGAATAACTGCAAATACTTTTGAGCTCGGCATTACTGTGGTTGAGTTGAGAGTTAATTCATGTGACTACAAATGGTGCATGTTAGCTCTCTGGTGCTGATATCACTTCACTTTAATTCAGTGGCCACATGACCAAGACCAGTGGAATTTCTTTGGTACAGCACAGTCTAAATGCTCAGCAGACAGTGTCAGCAGCATAAACAATACAGGCAAACATAACACACTACACAATAAATTATCACAATATTATTAATTATTATCACAATATTACTATACAATGAAG